TTAAAAGAGAAGTAAAGGCATTCATTAAGAGTGCTGCAAGTTCTGTTATTTATACGGCTTAATGCCAAAATTAGTGCCCAAACTATACCGCTTTTCACTGATAGGTGCCTAAAGTATTTTTTGACTCATCCCGGTGCCTAAAGTATTTTTTGACTCATCCCACTTATTAGCTCTCGGAATTGCGTGGGATCCCGATTTTCATCCTAGGGTTTGCGAGGTATAAAACGTCGATCGGTCACGATTTCATAGGGGTTTTGGTCGTCGGGTGGAGGTGAAGTCTGGTTAAGCTTCGTCGATGTCAAAGGGTGACGACCGGCGTGGGTTTAGGGGTTGAAATGAAGGTTTTCAAAGTTCTGGGGTTATTTCAAAATGCTTATGTATTTTTTTAAATATATATATAATTTTAATTTTTAAATTTTGATTAAAATTTTTAAAATTATCGGATTGTGAAACGTGTCACTTAATGACGAAAATTAACATCATTGACGGCCCAGACACCTAAATTGGTAACGTGAGGCACTGGGATGAGTAAAAAAATACTTTAGGCACCTATTTGTGAAAAACGTTATAGTTTGGGCACTTATTTTGGTAGTAAGCCTATTTATATTTAATGTTTTTGAAATTGCTAAACTGTCTAGATTGTTTTAGTAGATAACTAGCATAACTCAAGTTCTGAAACATTCAACCTCAGATACTTTTTCATCTTTGTATTCTTCTAAATTGTGGTTTTGTAGGTATTAGACACATGAATGAGTGTTTATTCTTAAGCAGTATTATTGCTCCAATAGGAATGTGTAGGCTAGATCAAGTGAAGAAAGCAGCATAGTAACTGAATTTTTGAGTTAAGGGATTAACATTTATTTTGCTATCGCAGCATCCTTGGAGTTCTACCATTCGTATGGCTATTGATTTGGAAGCCATGGGTATTGGAGGAAAGTCTTCCATTTTCCAGGTATATATATCTCTGGAAAAAGTTTTGGTCCCCCCATTCACTTGCAGAAAGGGATTGGTAAATCCACCTAATCAAAAAATGCTTACCTTGTTTGCTTATCATTAACTACATTTCCTGTCAACTTGTGTTCTGTTCTTTACTTGATAGGCTGGTCCTCATCCATTGGCTATTGAAACGTTTGCTTCAGTTGCAAAATACCCATCTGGTAATATCATAGGCCAGGTGTGTTCTTCTCCCTTTGGGTGTGTGTACACGTGTTCAAATGTGCGTGCATATTTTTATATGCTTCTTAGTTCACATCATGCTTTTCTTTGGTAGTTAAATTTACTAAAGTTAGAAGGAAACCTTCAAATCTAAATGATACAATGTTGTAGGACCTTTATGCTTCTGGAGTCATAAAATCTGCAACAGATTTCCAAGTGTACAGAGAGGTTGCTGGTCTTTCGGGGCTTGACTTTGCGTACACAGACCATGGTGCTGTATATCACACCAAGGTATTCTTTCTGTTTCTTTGCTTCTTTCTTACTATTTGATTGGAAGTTTACATTTTGGTATTAAATTATAGATGATGTGCAATCTTTTATTACTCTGATCAAAGGAGTGGGAGTTACTAGGTCTTCTTTTTCCGAGATAAGACAAGCTGCTTTATTTAGATGCTAATCAGGAGCCGTATATATCCAAAATTTGATTGCTTAGCTGATATGAAAGGATAGAATCCCAATGTTTCTGGTTCTTGTCGTAGATCGTGTAGATAGTACAAGGGTTGCATGTTTCCATTGCTTTTTTTTCCCCCAATTTTGAAATTGCATTTGAATGTCAATAGTACATTCTTGGTCTTGGAAGAAATTCGTAGTATATGAGACAGAGATGAAATCCTGGTGTAACTAAGTAATTAATTTAAAAGGGGGGAAACTGAATCATTTGAATCCTTTTTAAGTGCTAATTAAGAAGAAAAACAATACATGGAGAAAAAATTGACAACTCTAGTTCTTTCTTATTTCAGAATGCTTAAATTTGAATATACTGTGCAGAATGACAAATTGGAGCTATTAAAACCAGGATCTCTTCAACATCTTGGAGAAAACATGCTTGCTTTCCTGCTTCAGATTGCAAAATCCTCTCATCTTTCAAAAGCCAATGCAATGGTTGACGACATACAATCTAGCCATGATACTGCTGTGTATTATGACATTTTGGTACCTTCATAATCTCTGGCACATGGTTCTGTTTCGGAATTTGCTTTCTTTTTTATTTCCTCCCTGCATTTTTATTTCCTCTTGAGTCATGTTTTACGTTACCATGTAAATTTTGAAGGATGCTTTTGCTAAAACTTTGTTGATTTCAGGGGCAATATATGGTTACATACCGCCAGCAGTTTGCAAACTTGCTTCAAAGTTCAGTGATAGTTCAGTCACTTATGATATGGGTTACATCTTTGCTTATGGGTGGTTCTACTGCTGCTGTCTCATTGGCCCTTTCATGTTTGAGCATTATCCTCATGTGGACATTTTCATTAAGTTTCTCTGCTCTTTCTGCATTAATTTTACCTCTGATATCTTCGTCACCGTTGCCATATCTTTCAATCCCATGGTTGGTTGTGGGGTTATTTGCTGCACCTGCTTTTCTCGGGGCTTTAACTGGTCAGCATTTAGGCCATCTTGTTTTGCAAAGATATTTATCAAATGTTTATGCCAAGAGAAAACAGCTGTCACCTGCTATCCAAGTTGATCTGATCAAGTTAGAGGCGGAAAGATGGCTCTTTAAAGCTGGTTCTCTGCAGTGGCTAGTTCTCTTGATTATAGGAACTTACTATAAAGTTGGATCATCTTACATTGCTCTTGTTTGGCTTGTTCCACCAGCATTTGCATGTAAGCTGACATTTACTAGTTTGCTTTTACGCATCTTTTTGTTACTTGGATGAATACGAGGACTGTTTATGTTTAAGAACAATGTACATGTTCTGATTGCTGAGTTGTGTCCCAGTGGAGTGGAAGCATGGTTGGCCTACTTAATGTTGATAACCATGTGAAATTATTATATATTGTTTTTTATTCCTAGACAATATTTGGAATTCGGAATTCCTATACTGATGGAATTTTTCTTTAGACTAATTTTCTTTACCATATTCCTCAGATGGCTTGTTGGAAGCAACATTAACCCCGGGACGGTTGCCGAAGCCCCTCAAACTTGCAACGCTGTGGATGGGGTTGGCCATTCCGATTTTAGTTTCAGCTGGTCCATTCATTAGATTAGTTATCACAATGATTGGACTTAGTGTGCGATTTGTCAGGTAAAAGTTATAAGATGATTCTTAGTTTGAATGTTTGTGCTTAAACAGTATGCCGGTTGGCAGCATTTGTGATATAGGCTGAATTGGCATAGATTGGTCTGTTTAAGCAGAAACATTTTCAATGTTGCTGCTCTCAACTCAAACTTCTTTATTTATTTTTGGAATTAATATTTTTTTACTTGATTTGAATATTTTATAAAGGGACTGCTGACCTGGCTTGTTTTATATTCTTATTTAGACATCCAGGCGGTTCTCCTGCGTGGCTGCCAAGTGTGGCACTTTCCGTTTTTATTGCAGTTGTTATATGCCTAACTCTGGTGTATCTTCTTTCGTATGTTCATCTCTCAGGTATTCATCTATCACAGATGCAGGTGTTTAATTGGTACTTAATGCTTTCTATGGTTTCCCTTGGCATTGACATGTTTGTTAGTGATGATGAGATGTCAACACTGGGTTTTTATTGAGTATCAAAACAATAAAATTGCAAATATATTAGCCATCACCCACATTTAAGGTTAAATATACATCTTGTAAGCATAAAAGGGGGGCTGGTTAACCATCAGTTCTCCCAGATTCAATTACTTATTTTTGTTATTGTCATATGTTTTAACCATCTCTTTAAAACTTTTCTCCCATGTTTCCACTTCATTTACTTGCAATAAATATGTATCAAAAAATTACGATTGAATTGCGTGTTTATCATCTTCTCGTTGTGTAGGTGCAAAAACATCTATGGTCCTTGCAACTTGTATTCTGTTTGCTCTGTCACTTGCTGTGGTATTTTCTGGTATACCTCCGCATATGTTTTAATGTCATCTCGAGGTAACATCCGAAGCTTTTCATGGTTCCTAGGTGGTCCATGTGGTGGATACAACAGGAAGATTTGGAGAAAAACCCAGCTCTTACATATCTCTGTTTTCCTTCACTCCTGGAGTGTTTACTGTGGAGGTTGAGGAAATTAAAGAGGGGTTCGTATGTGGTAGACACAAGGCCATTGATTATGTTACTTTTTCGGTCTCATATGGCTGTTTGACCTTCGATGAAACCGAAGAGGGTGTTCCTTTCTTTTTCCCTTCTTGAGGGAACATACCATGAAAAGTAGGTCTAATAATCTTAGCTTCGACCTCGTATGCAGTGGGTTCAGAAGAGTTAGTCCCAGCGGATGGCAAGCGTGGCATAGATGGATGGCATACCATTCAAGCATCAGGAGGGAAGAATGCACCAACAAAGTTCGAACTCACTCTCTTCTGGATGCAGAATTCGACACTGAGTTCACACAAGATGCTGCAGTCGGAACAACGGCCACTTTTGAATCTCAGAACCGATTTTCCTGGAGTGATGACACCAAAGGCTAAAGTAGTCCTTCAGAAACTTCCACCGTGGTTTACGTTGTTTGGGAAGTCCACATCTCCTCACACACACTCGTTTTTGAGTAGTCTTCCTGTTAATTTTTAGAATACCCGAAAATTCATACGTTGGGTCCCTTAGGGATCCCTTAGCATTCTTAACTTGTACACTAGTAGGCAACCTAGCATCATTTTCTATTTAATTCTATATAAATCTATATTTATATGCATGATATGTAGATTCCCAGCTCCCTTCTGGTAAAACTAATCGGGGTTAAATATTTAATATATTTATCATTGTCACTCAAATTCATATATTGTTTAGAAGTTTTCTTTTATTCATTATTTTCGTTGGGCTTTGCTAGAAAGCAATTTTGGACTAAATAACTCGAATAAGGGGTTTTTTGGGTTAAAAATAACTGATGCATGTAATTATTATAAGGTGAAAACTCATCACAATCATTTTTCCAGCAAAACAAACACATAATCCCAGATTTTCCGAGACAGAAAAAAAGGGCCATTTCTCTCTATGTACCACCCCCAACACCACAAACCAAAATACAAAATAGCGTAAACCTCACCTATTCTCCTTTTCTACTCCCAAAATATGTTTATGTTTGCCTTCTTCCCCATGTTTTTTATTCATTTACACATGTAAGACTTCTTAATCCTTCCACGAAATCACCTCCACAAACAAAATTTTGCAAAATATTGGTAAAAACAACTTTGGAAAATTATTATCTCGGATTTGGTTGCGGTCCAAGTGAACATGACGGTTGGACGAGCCTTTGAGTCGATGGACTACCTAGTAACATTGCCTGAGATCGAGTAAGCATGTCGACCATTGATGGAGTTTGATAAGCTTGAATCAGACTTGAACCGTCAGTGGAATCGCCTCTTGCGGTTGCTCTTTGCCACGAGTGTGAGCTAAGTCCCGATAGGATGTATGCTCTCCCGGATGCCTCGTACACATGCCTGCTTGCCATCCTTTCTTGCATCTCCTTGAGTTCAGCATCCAATGCAACACAAAGTCGGTCATGAGCTTTGGCCGAAACAGTCTCGGACAACAACCTTCTACAGTTTTCAAGTATTGAAACAGCACTTGCTAGATCTCCCCGTTCAGCTGTAGTTCTTGCCTCCGCCATTGCCTCGGCTGCTCGGAACCTGTTGCGTTGCCTGTCTACTTCGATTGAAACTACTTCCAGTCCAACTACTTCAGGTCTTTGAATCTTAACAACATCACTCTCCAAAGTGGTCATTTCTTTAGTTAATGGATCCCTATAAACACAATTCACCTTTAGCAACGATGTTTCACATTCAGATGGCTCAGCTGGCACTTTAACGGACACCAAAAAATCCCTCTCTTCATCAGCATAGAGATCTCCAACCTCAATAAATCCAGTTTTTCCATCAGCTGTCACACGGCTCGGGTAACTGCCTGATTTAAGTGGACCGAGGCAGAGACTTGGATTCATGCACTCCACGCCCACTTGCAGCTCTTGAACTACAACGCTTAAAAGACCACCAATGCACTGTGCAAATGCGTCCTGGATTACAGCTTCATTTTCGATAAAAGAAAACGTCCCTCCAGAGATCTCTGAAATCGAATGCATTGATGAAGCATCGTGATCGGCGCCAAACCCAAAAGCATGCACTGGAACATGGAATCCCGTGTTGTCACTCCCATGAATAGACAGAGGGAGAAGCAGCTGGTAATTCGGTTGAGACTTGTTTGCACCAGCACCAGTTACGGTATAAGTATCCTGCCCATCCGACAAAAGTATTATGCTTGCAACTGGATTCTTTTCCCTCCGGTCTTCCATTACCTTGGCACCTTTTCTCAGGCCTTCAGCTATGTTGGTACCGCCATTTGCGACCAGAGAGTTAACAGCATGGAGTGCCTGCTGCCGTCCTGTGTCAGACATTAGACGAAGGGGGAAGAGGCGGCGAGCTGTTGAAGAGAAGGCAATGACCGAAAGTCTGTCATTGGAGCCAAGGTTCTGAATTACAAACCCCATTGCCCGTTTTAGCAATGCAAGCTTGGTGCCAGCCATGCTACCACTGGTATCAAGCACGGTGACTAGGTCAACAGGAGCACGGGGATTTTGATAAAGTTGTGGCCAGCAGCTAGCATGATTTCTGTTCGGATTTTGATTTGTAGCTGAAGCAGCAGCTTTAAGATGAAGAAGAACGGTGAAATCTTCGTAGGAACTGGACCTTTGTACCGCTGAAACCTCGGGGTATGTTTTGATCTCTATTGTTCTAAGAGAAGAGTTATCCGAGGCATTCATACTCTCAGCAACCACACGTAGGTGATCCAACATTTCATCATCATTGAAAACGCCTGGTTCAGGAGCCTGAAATAATGGTACAACATGTCGGCGACTTAAATCTCTACGAGGTGGAGGTAACCGGCGGACTACAGTCATCAAAGCATCATTTTGTGGCCAACCAGCAAGATTGGTTGCCGCCCTGCCAGGGGGAGAATTTAAACTAGGACTCTGCATAGGGATTTCTTTCCATTTTGCTCTACAAACCGGGCAAATTTGATTACCATGCTTCACGTTCGAAGCAATGCAATGGAAGTGAAATGAATGAGAGCACTCTGCCGTGAAAATAGCATGGCCAGCTCCTTGTTTCATCTTGGTCAAACATATTGAACATGTTTGCTGAAACAAAATATAACTAACAAAATTAGCATCCGAAGCAAAACTCATATATCATCAAACACCCAAATGAATTCAAGAGTGAAAGAAAATAAATCAAGTGAATAAATCCCAAAATGTATGGGTTAGAAAAACATAGCATCGGTAATTATAGCAGCAACTCGACTGTGCCACTATACAAGCTCTAGGACTGCAATGAAAGAAATTAGTTATAATCCAAAAAGTTTAAAGGATAAATCATTATTCATCACAATCTTTTTAGCTATCTAAAAACTACGTTCCTCGAACTCAGTTGCGAGTGTCGGACAATATAAGCTCCAATTTTTCCACGATCTTATGTATTTAGAGAACCCTTGATCATATTCTCATACCCATATCCGAATCAGTGTAGGACACAATGCTTCAAGAATACGAAAAGTCGGAACAACATAGGCTAAAAGAGGTAAAAAAAAAAACTGTTGGGAAAAATAAGGTTTAGGTGAGAATGAAATTTACTTGGGACAGACATAAAAGTAGCACAAAACAAAAGGGGACACAAATCAATTAGGGGGAGTAATTAATCAGCCAGCAAAGCTAAAAAGAAGTCAATGTTAGGTATCCAACATATAAAGGAATATAAGGGAAATAAAGCTAAGAATTAAAGAAGTAACTTTTGAGAAATTATCAAGAAACTATTCACCAGACGAATCCGGGGGAAAATTGAAAGCCGCTTTCACGATGAAAAAGTACTTCAAATTATGCTTTTAGGCTTTTCTTAAATCTCTTTGATGACATTATCTGCTATAGAAAGGTTACAATTTTAACAAGCAAAATATGAGGCCATCAAGCAAAGCAGATTTTTCCTTCGTCACGAGGAGGAAAAAGAAAGGTAAAAGTGACCCTGAAAGGGATTTTATGCACTAACCATGGAAAATTCCAAAGCTCAACTAGTTTAGGTCAATAAACCAACTTGATCGTCATTAAATGTTAAAATATGACAGGAATAATTCGACCACGGTGCAAGGAAAAAGTTGTGCTGGCCGGATAAACGAGAGAAGAATTTAAAAAAAGTCGATGCAATTGCATCAGCAGCATATAAAAACGAAGACTCGAGCAATCATTCATACCGGAAATACACATTTGAGAATTTCAGAGACTTTAACCCCTATCACTTTTAAGATAAGGTCAAAACATGATTGGTGCTGCAAAAGAAACAGATAAATTTTCATCCTGCAACCGATAAACAGAGAATTCTGAATCCAATACCATGGTACAGATCTTGATCATTCAACTAGAAATATCAGGCAACATTAGCCAAAACAAATGAAAAATTATAGTATTGCTAATAAATATCCTAGTCAGCCGCCTTTTGCATTCTATTTTCTCAAATAAATACGAAACCCATTACCAAAAACTACATGACCTTTTCTTTCAAACCCAAGCTATTTTCTAAGGAACCAAACACAAACTACAACCGTTACTCCACAAATTTATAAATCATTAGAATTTAGAAGCCAAACAATAGGAAGCCTACTAACCCCAAAAGTTCATCTTTCCTAGTTTCCCCAGCAACAAATAAGGCATGCCTAAAAGGTCCAAAACACCCCAAACAAATAATACTAACAAAATAAAAAACTATTTTTTAAATCTCCACCACCCCTCCCCCACAATTTATAATCAAACACACAACTTGGTAGAAAAAAAAACAGATAATCGTTTATCACTAGCAAAGACAAAAACATGGTTCATGCAGCCCAAAGAACATTATGGAGAGAAGCAAACCTTGGATGATTTGCTTGCACTTCTAGACAAACTTCTAGGCAACCTAAAACCATGAGCAGAAGGTGAAGGAGTCACTGGCCTAGAAGCTGCCATATTAGCCGAGTTTGAAAGAGATAACAGAGCAGCATCAGATGGCCTTTCACTGGAAGGAAGTGAACGATAATCATCATCGTCTGAAGTTCTAGGTAAATAAGCACAAAGATTCAAGCCCAAAGCCATCTTCGCTTTTCTCCATCTGCTACCCATTTTGACTCAAAATAAAGTGTTCTGAACTTAAAAACAAAAACCCAAAGCTGAAAAACTGGATCTTGAAGTTGATTCTTATGTCAAGTTGTTATCTTTCACAGAGTTTCTCTTTAGGAATGGGAAAGATAGAGAGAGAAAAAGGGTTTTTAAAGAAAAAAGTGGAAATGAAACACAAAAACCAAGAGAAACAAATACATAAAGAGAAGATAGATTTTATGGAGTTTTTTCGTTTAAACTTTATATAAAGCTGTAGTTTTTTCCCCCCCTGAAATGTCAAAGCTAGAAACGAAGGGTTATTAGAAGAAGAGGATTACTCGGTTGCTTGTTGGCGTTGTTGGCCGCCATTGTAGAGGGAGAATAAAGAGTTATGGGAAAAGCACGTTTTGCTGCTTCAATAATAAAAAGCAACCATATGTACACAACTATAATATTATTTAGATATTTGCGGCTTTTCTTTTAAAAAAACAAAACAATCTCCATTAATTAATCACAACCATAATATTGTTCTGCGCCATGTTTTTCTTGGAAAATTGTTTAAGATTAAAAATACAACTTCTTTAACCATTTAATATTTAGATAAATGTATGATCAATTTACCCCAATAATTATATGAATTAATATTATTCTTTAAGGTAATGAGTTCAAACATTAATAATTATAATAAAGTAATTGAACGTTTATTATCAATTGATTAAAAATATTAGAATAGATATTATTTTGTAATTATCTTAGATTAATAAAAAATTATTTAGATAAATTAATTAACAACTTGGTTAAAAAATCTACGTTGATACTTTTTTTTAGTTGTGAGTTTAATACTCGTTGGAAGCAAAAATATTAATTTAAGTATGTGTTGAAATTAATTTTTGATTTAAAAAAATTATGTCAAAGTTCTGATTTATATTAGATTTAAAATGTAAGGTTTATTTAATAAAGTTCATTTGATTTTTCATTCGATTCAAGCCAGTGAACAGAATATATTATATCTTTGGACACTTGACCATAACTTCAAATTTCGATCATTATTGTTTTTGATTTTTTTCCTTCAAAAATTAATTTATATTTAATTATGAAATATGGAAATTGACATTCTAAATTTCTAATTGCGAGTGGCAAGCGATCAAATGTTTGTCAGTCGACTTTACCAATTGGGAGAGACATTGCATCATTCACTTCTACTACCCACCTCTGCTCCCCAAATTATACTGTCCCTTTGCCAAATATTTTTTAATCAATTTTGCAAAGATTTCAAACTATATGTTTATGTAATTTTTTTTTTATATTTCCCTATTGTTAAACTTATATTATATATGTTTTCCAATATTTTCTTATAATATTAGCCATGAATGACATCACAAAGCATCATATTCGAAATACACATTATAGACACCTGTTTTTGTTCGATTCTTTTTTTAATTATTAATTATTATTATTATTATTATTATTATTATTATTATTAAAATTTACATTTTACAAACTCTACAGGGACCCACTATTCCATCAACTCAGATTACACTCAAGCCCAAGGCTAGTTACAACAATTGACCCAATCAGCCCACCCAGAAGTTGACCCAACAGATGATCCAGACCCGATTATAACCTGAAGCCCATATTTGACCCGACCTAAAACCCTAAACACTAGGATTTCAAGTAGATTTCCAGCGCTGCTCAACTACAACCCTTGGATCTAGACTCATCTAACGATACATATCACTCCAGGAGTTTAGGGTTTTGACCCTAGTACATCTATTGTCGTCGCCATTGTTGTTGCTTCTTCCATATACCGCCTCTGACGTCACCGTGCAAGACAAAGAATCATGTCAAAAGTGAAAAGAGACATCACATCAGAAAAAAACAGAAAACAAATCTATATATATCCCGAGGATATCTACAATATCACATACCAGAGCAAGGCACTCATACCCTAGGTTTCGGGAACCACCAGCATTATTATATTATTGAAAAATAAATAGAGTTATATTTTAAAAAAATAATAACGACAAATTAATCGTTTAAATTTTAATTAAATTGTTGAATCGCTAGATTAGAGGGTAAAGTATACAAGTTGTCCCTCGATTATAAGGTATTGCTATAAGTTATAAAATAGTTTTTTTGATTATAGGGTGTTGCGTTGTCAAGTCCTCTAACTATTGAAAATTATAAAATGGTCATTTGATTATTCATATGTTCCAAACTCATAATTTTCTGTTAAAAATTGAATGATCGTTTGAGCTGGAAGCTAACCTGTTGGTTGTGATGTGATAAAATTATATTTTAATGATATCTACTGGCACTATTGTTGCTTCCAAACAATGACTCAATGGTATAGTATAAACAAAGACTTGATCCATAAAATACATACCAACATCTAGCTCAGACGACTCTTAATTTTTTTAAAAGAAAATGGCAAGTTTGAAACATGTGAATACTCGGGTGACCATTTAATAACTTTTAATAGTCAGATGACTCTGACTCAACAAAACAACATCTTACAATCAATAGATCATTTTGTAATTTTCAATAGTCAAAAGAATAAAAAAATCAACCTCCTATAATTAGGGGCTATTATTATAAAATAAATAGAGTTATATTTCAAAAAAAAGGAAATTTTAATTTAATTAATTAAATTGTTTAATAAAAAGATTAAAAACAATTAATAATTAACTTTTTTTTAATTGAATCATTAACTTGATTTAATTTTGTACAACACCCATCTACATGATGATGGGAGATGGATGGATGCTGGCCGTCGAGCAGTGGTGGCATTAAGTCAAAAAGGAGAAAAATGGTGGGCAATGCAATGATGGTAAATGATGATTTATTTTCCACATGACATGATTCCATGTGAGCACACACGTGCACATCATCGACCATCTTATGTCAATTCCCCCCCCCCCCCCAATTTCAATATGTTTACTTTTATTCACCGCAAACCAAAATTGAAATATTTCTCTGTCAGTACTCTTAGGGTTCATAATTAAATTTAAATATTTATAATACTGAAGATAGCTTCCTTTTTAGAATTCTTTTGGGACAAATAAAAACACATTGATTTGTGTTAGCTAACCTAATCTAGGCGTAAAAATAACTACATAACACTGCATTAATATCCATAAGCATCGATTAATCAAATTCTTAATACAGTTTCAAAATGATGGGTTCGACGTATTATTTTATTTAAAAATGTTGTTGGAATTGTTAATAGCCCTGTCGTTACTGTTCATTACAAGGCATGGGTGGATGAACCCTAATCTCCTCAAAAATGGGTATTCAATGGTCAAAACTTTTTGGCACGTGCCCGTGAACATATCAGCCCTGCCTTTGGTTTTAGGATTTGAAATTTGTGCACCTTAATATAAAATTCATCAACTCTGGTAAGTTCTCAATATTTTGGATTCAAAGAAAAAAATTCATCAATTCCGGCGTGAAATCTAGAATTTATCAAGCAGCATTGATTTGACAAAGTCGTTGGGGTTCATATTTGTACTATAAATCTTCATGCTGCTTCGTTCAAATTATAAATAGCAGGACGGGTAGTTCTACGGTATGACAGTTTGATATAAGGTTAAAGAAATGTGTGACTTAAAATATTATAAATAAACATAATAATTTTGGTTAAGTATAATCTAAAATGTTATTTTTTCTTACTTTTTTCGTAACATTTTTTGGTGCGACCGAAAATGTTATATTTTTCATAATATTTTCGGTTGAATCGAAAATGTTATGTTGTTTATAACATTTTAGTTAGCATCTTTATTTAGCCTTATATTAAATATTGTACCATAGAATCACCTATATCATGATCACATACTCGATTCTAAAATTTTAAATTTTAAACTTGATTTTTTATTTACTCTAAATAACAATAATCTAAGGTTGTCTATTTAAGTTTACTTAAAAATATAGTTTTTTAGTTTAAAATTTAAAAATGATCGTGTATGTGTGTGTATATATATATTATAGTAGCCTTAACCACACACACTATGCAAGGGATATTAGAAAAAGGAAGTGTAATATTAAAAGTGATGAGGGCATTTGAGTGGAGTTCTCTATTCCATTCTTACTTTTTTTTTAATTAGAAATGAAAAAGTGCAGTTAGGTCCTTACAATAAAGAGCATGACTTTACGTAGTTGAATCAACATGCAAAATATTTAAAACCATATCAAAAGAATTTCGAACCTCATGATAATTAAACCGATAATGTCTTATATATCGTCATTCAAGTAATCATTATTTTTTTATTTAAGTGTTCTTGCAATAATATTTATTTTATTTTTAATCTAAATGATATTCAAATATATGTTAAAAATAATATTACTTAAACTCGAATTACTTAGGAAGTATTAGATCACTTTTTATGTTCTTATTCCCATCCATTTTTACACCTTCAAAAGACAACCCTTTTTAAAGGAAAACAAAATGTTCATTTCCTTTTAAAATGGCTAAAAAAAAGTCACCCTCTTTTTATGACCACCCATTCCTCGTACAATTACTAATTTATCCCCCCCAAAAAAAGGAAAATTGAGAGGCTCCTTGCAAAGAGTGGAGATCCATTAAAAAACACCTTTGTGAAGGGATAGGATACCCTTTCCCCTTTACCATCCTCTAAATTTGCTACGCTTTCTAGGGCAAGTCAACTACAAAGCTCAAAGTCTTTCATTATTATTATTATTATATAATTAAAAACCCTAATTACAAAGGGAATCACCCCTCATGGTGCCCCACACTAGGGTGTAGTCATTAAAGTAAATATGGATTTTGGACTGCCTTGCACGTATAAGAAAACACTGACACTATACTCACAACATCTTTCTTAGTTATATACTTGTCAATATAATTCGTTAGGGTCACCGGTTATTGATAATATTTTCTTTTATATAAATAAAATTTAAAATAATCAAATTTATAGTATAGCATTAAATGGGTTTGACCCTCTTCCAAAACAATCATTTAATTCTTTAAAAATTTATATGAAAATATTTATTTAAACAATCAATTGAACAAGAATCAACTTATCTCAGTAATTAAAGAAACTGTTGTTGTTCTTAGAGGTTATGGGTTTGAGCACTAACGATTGTAGTAGGGTGATTGAGCGTTTATTATTAAATGATTGAGAGTATTTAGAACATATACTATTTTTAATTACCTTAACTTAATAAAAAAACAATCTACTAAGAATCTAATCTACTAAAAATCAGTATTTTTAGTTAGATTTTTATAACTAGAATTCAATATTTAATTTTTTACACATTAAACTTTTAATTTATTAAATTGTAACTTTATAACTTTATCAAATAACCAACTCAACTCAACTCAACTCAACCCATTAGTGTAAATATAAAATTTATTTTAAAAAATAACATGAATTGATCTCACTAATAAAAAATAACCTTGAAACCTCAAAATGATTGTCTTTAATTATAGGTTTAGCATCAGCGGCTACAGTAGGATGATTGAGTGTTCATCTTCAAATGACTCAAAATGATTGTCTTTGATTATGGGTTTGAACATCAGCCACAGCAACAGAGTGTTGAATGTTTATCATCAAATGGCTGAGAACATTTAGAACATATAATATTTTATAATCACCTTAACTAAATAAAAAAATATGGGTTATATGAATAAAGTGTTAATCAATTGTTTCAAAATTTAAAGGCTTCAATTTTTCCAACATATCCAGAGAGAGGGGTGGGGCAAGAGAAAAATAACTGGGTTGTGGGTTAGGTTAATCAAGAATCAAGATGTCACATGCATTTGATCATCAAGCCAAACCTAATCCCATGCATGTAAAGGGGAGAGGGTCCAATTTGTTAATGTAAATGAAAAATCATTTCTTTTTCATTACATTGTCAGCTCATGCTTTGTTGTGAATGCATGCAAACGTCTTTATCTTTTTCATTTTAACTTTTTATTGCATGACAGCCCATCCTAGACGGAAGCTCTAAGATTAAGATTATTACTCCAGCTGGCGCAAATATCTCCTTTACTTAGGGTTTAGTTGTTTTTTAAAAATGGATTAGATATTGCAAATAAGGAATTGATTTTGCAAAAACAAGTAAACGATAAAAGTTGAATACCTTTTGAATGATTACAGAAGTAAGTATTAAACTAACAAAAAGTTATGGTTAATCATTTGCAAAGAGAGGGTATCTTAAAACAAATTATTTATTCTGGAAATAATTATTATATATATAGTAAATAAAATTATGTATTTTTAATTGTTATTTATCATAAATAAATAAATAAATAAAAACTTGATTTTTAACATGATTTGCAGAATTAATTAATTTTATCAAATAATAATAGCTTTCATTTGAAATGCGTCACTTAAGATTATCTTATATACAGCAGAATTTTTATCCAATGTGATGAAATGCTGAATAAAGTAATTAACTTAAAGAACTTTAGGGGCAGTCAATAATGAAATTCAATTATTATATGTGTATTGGTTATTGTGGAGTTCACTGTCCATGCAGACCCGTATATAAAACAAAAGACATAAAGGTTATTTGACCCTTGTTTTGTTTTGATTCATCCAACATAGTAATACAAAGACACTTCTTGCCTATTTCAAGCAGGGGTGCTCATTGTTAACTTAAAATTGAATTAACCGATCGAATCAAAATTTTTATCGTTTAATCGGTTGATTAATTTTGAATTCGATCGATTAACAGTTAATGATTTTTTTTAAATTTCGGTTTCAATTAATTTAATTTGAAATCGATTAATTAACCGAAATTATTAGACATTTAAAATTATATATATATATATATATATATATAATTTAACTTTAGGTGTGTTTAAACTTTGATTTTAACATAATTAACCGACCAAAAATATTAAATATTAAATATATATTATTTATAAACTTCGGTTAATTTGATTAACCGACAAATTAACTAAATTTAGTCCAGTTCAGTTAACTTCTTTTTTTTGTGAAAAAAACTCAATTCAATTGACGGCTGAGGAAAAAAATTTGATTAATGAAATTTAAATAATTCGGTTCGATCACTTAACTGAATTAACCATTTGAACACCCTAATTTTAAGAGCTTTAAATGTCACCTTTTCTACCATTGAAATCCAAAATTATTCTATATAATGGCTCTAATCAGACTCATAAAATTACCACTTGAGTTTATTAATTCAGCTTTTAGAAATTTTGATTGTTTAGATATTTTGAATATTTGTTAAGATTATTTCAATTTCAACGTCGTTTAAGCTATTTTTTAAAGTTACTTTAAAGTAACGCTCAACTAGGCATCTAAAATAGGTGTCATTTAATCAACAATTAGTTTTTTTATTAACTATACATTTAATGCCTAAATGATTACTTTTATTCTATTTTAACACATAAATTTTCTTTTTCTTTTAAATGAAACGTACCTAATATTTACTTTAAGTTTTAATTTAATAATTCCCACCAAAAATATTAACAAAATTATCGATATAACATTTTTATTTCAAGCTAATATGACATAGTTTTATGAAGACATATCAACATCACCGTTAAAAATTTAATGGTGTACTAAAATAAAAACTAAATGTTAGTTAACTTAAAAAAAACAAAATTAAGGTACCAAACAGAACAAAGTAATAGTTTAAATACTATACATGTAATTTACCACTTTCTTACTACGGTACACAGTTGTCAAATCACAACACAAAATTACGCAGGATTCGTCTCTTAAAAAAAGTATGTAATATTTCAATAATATTATTACGTTTCTTTTTTGAAACCGTAATCTCAGTTCTCAGAACAATCGGTAAAAACCCTAACAATTCATGCCACGATCATACAAATTTTCAATAAGAATTTCACGTCCAAAAATTCAGGTATGTTTACGTATATGCAAGCAAAAATTATCATTGAAAATCGGGACTCTACCTGTTTATTTAAAGCATTTACAACCAAACTTACGCTTCACAATCTATGGCACCTATATCTACTTACGGATTGGATATCGGAAAAAATGGAAGCCATAATCTGATCTTGTTCGTCTGAAACGACCTCCAGTGAAGGCTTTTTTTTTTCGAGCTATAATAGTGCGGAAAATATACAATAAAAATATCGACAATGATCTTATTCTGCAGACTGGCTAGAATTATGGTTATCTATATATATTGCAGAGAATAAGGTAATGAAGATGACGAATACTATAATCACCTTTTTATGTCGTTCTGTACAAACTGCATCTACTTGCAGCCGTTATGGCAGTGGAGAAAAAGTGCCTTTTATGGTTACATATACAGATTATTCAGGAGGCCAATGAGGATAGTAATCCTATGCGCCTTTCTGCATTCAAGAAATTCGGGTTTTATAAGTTGGCGTGACTAGTATGGCTGGCTAAAATAATAATGTAGACTGAAACTTGAGAGGAAAAAGAAAGGGATTACATACCACCAGTTGCAATAAGCTTCTCAACACGAGAAACGATATGTTTGCCGTAAGTGTACCTTTTCAGGGCATTTAAATGAACCTTGATTCTAGAAAGGATCAACTCCAGATTCTTGTCGTCGCAAGTTTCGAGAACCTTCTGCACGACATAGTTTCCGAATTGATCTTTCATCATAGCCTGTAGTCATGCATTCAAAAGAAAAAGGTATAATTGAATTTATTTGTTACAAAAATTAAGCCTTTTAACATATTTGATGCAACAACCAAAAAAAAGGTATATGAAAACAAGGCATACAGAAATATATCTGTATATTATATATATAATTGTTTGCAAGTGGAAAAGGAAATTAGTATTGTGACATACCTGCAATGGCTCATTTTCATCAGTTGAACCAAGCATCTCATTGACCAAAAATTGACGTTCCTCAGGCCCGCCAAAAGTCAAGCACTTCTCAACAACATTAGAAGCAAATTTCTGCAGACTCATCTTCACAATTTGTCCAGCAAGCTTGCTGATGATAGCAGATCTCTCGTGTGGCTTACCATGTTCAAGAACATGCTATCAAACAAGGAAACGTAATTAATATAATCTCAACAATAACAATCGAAAGATCAGGCAACTTATCAACTAACATGGGTAGTTCTTTGGCTGGAGGAGTTTCGTGGGTTGCTTTCGTGGATAATCTTAGTAGGCGTGTGCAAAGAAGTGCATTATGGGATCGTTTTAGTCATTGTGGCAAGGTGATTAAGGTGTTTATTCCATTCGTTAACAGGAGACCTTGTTATAAGGAAAATACGTTTGCTTTTGTGCATTTTGCGAGCAAAAATGATCTGCATCTTGCAGTTGAAAAGATGAATAACGTATCGTTCGATGGGAGGAGAATATCTGTGTCGATCGCTAAGTATCAGAAGAAAAGTACTCCGCCGAGTTTTAACCGTACGAATGTGAGGAGGTCTTCAGGTGCTGGTACAGATGAGTTGCGGAAGAAATTATCATTGCCAGCTGCAGTTGCAGAGAAGGAGTTTTTGAATAAGTTTTATGATGGAAGGTCCTATAAGGATTCGGTTGTCGGAACAAAAGAAGTTGAGGGCCAGAAAGTGGGGAGTATTGGAGAAAAGGTAGAAGGGAAGACGTCGAGGGATATTTTTATTCCAATGGAGGATAGGACTTGGCTTAGAACGTCTTTAACTGGTATTTGTAAGCCAATATTTGAAGTTGAGTTTGTGCAAAGGGCGTTAAGATCTGAGGGAATCAATGTCAAAGTGCTTAAATGGGGATATGCAAAAAACGCCTGTCTGGTAGTTTTCCAGACTGTTGAGGAGAAAGTTTCAACGATGGAAAACAAGTGGGAAGCCTTGTCCTTTTGGTTCGATAGGTTGGAGCAAGTTATGGAAGAAAAAGGAATTCCACTACCTTATTGTCAAGTTTCTATGATTGGTGTTCCTCTTAATTGTTGGTCAGTCCCTTTCTTCACTAGCTTGGCGTCGAATTGGGGCAAACTAGTTAAGATACAAGAACAAACTGCTAAAAAAGTGGATTGTAGAGTAGCCCATATGTTGTTAAGGGTCGAAAGTCCTTTTGATATTCCTCCCCATATCACTATTAATACGTATGGGAGATCGTTCTTGATCAAGATTAAGGTGGAAGGAAGTGAAGATTTTTTTCCGGAGCTTGAGGATTTGGTTGAAGATGATGAAACAGTAAACAATGGGTTGAACTTGCCGGAAGAGAGCCTTGGTGTTGATATCGATGAACAGGAAGGGAGGTTGAGTGAGCAGGCGTTGTCAGACAACCATAACAGTGTACAAGATGGGCCTTGGAATCCTCTCTAGGGGAGCACACAATTTTCAATGGACAGTTGGAGGGAAAAGGGGTTTTTCAAAATATAGTGGCAATTGATGTATGTGCAGAGGAGACAGTTCTTGATGAGGATCAGGGTCAGCAGAAAAAGATGGGGGCTGGTACAAATGAGAGAGAATGGGTGGTTAACAGGGGTGAGGTCCCATTGGGGCTTGACAATGTTGACCAAGTTAATGGGCTCATTGGTACTGTGGGTAGGGTAGAAGTCTTTGGGCCTATTCAGGGTAGTCCAAGTTCAAATAGAGGTGGTTACAAGCCTGATGAATTGGCTAATGCTAGGGGCGAATGTGGAGGTCCTCAGCAGACAGGTTTGAAGGCTTCAGAGCTAGATTTTGTTGCAGATCAGGATGGAACAATTGGGTTATAAGTCAGTAAAATTCCTACTAGGAGGTGTTCTTCTTCCCCTCCAACAAATCGTGTTTATCCCCCTAAGGTAGCTACCATTTTCTCTGACAGAGTTTACAGCAGATCTAATAAGAAGAATAAAAGAGATGATTTGAATAAGGGTTTTGCCGCAGTTGATTTTTCGATTGATAATGACGAATTGGAAGTAACTTGGCAGGTTAGCCAAATGTTAGGTGTTAATTTTGAGGGGGTTAAGAAAGCTTTTGCTGAGAAATTTTCCGAGTCTAATTCGGTTAGGGGGGAGAAGGGTGGTTATTAACCCTTATATTTGGTTGAAGGTTTTTTTATCTTTTTTAATTATATTTTTATGGTTCGTGTCTCTTGTGTCACTTGGAATATTAGAGGTTTAGGTAGGTTGGTAAAGGCTAGGGCAGTGAGGAAGGTGGTTGTTGATAAGAAACCGTCGTTTCTTTTTCTGCAAGAAACGAAATTGGAGGTGGTTTCTGTAGGTTTGAGGAGGAAGTTGGGGGGTAAATATCTAGGTGGGATGGTGGATTCTCCGGCCGTGGGTGCATTAGGAGGATTGGTTACTTTTTGGGATGAGGATTGGTTTATACCTCATTTGGTGAAAATCTCACCAAGGTTTATAGCTTTGAAGGGTATAGTAAAGGATAACCAAGTGGTGTGTTGTTTTATTAATGTGTACGGACCCTCTGTTGAAGCAGATAAAGAGGCGTTTTTTGAGGAGTTATCCAGTTTTATTGCTACATTGGGGTGCCCTTTATGTGTAGCTGGAGATTTTAATGCTCATTTGTCACAGGAAGAAAAGTGGGGGGAAAATCTGTATGAAAATTCAATTGGGTGGTTCAGGGAGTTTTTGTTTCATTCAAGTTTGATGGATCTGCCTTTGGTGGGAGGAAGTTTTACTTGGGGTAACAACAGGGAAGATCCTACATTTGTAAGGTTGGATAGGTTTTTAGTTTCTGCCGAATTCTTAGACTTATTCCCGGATGTTGTGCATCTGTTATTACCTAAGTCAATTTCAGATCACAATGCTGTGGCATTGGATTCCAGTAAGATTAATTGGGGTCCGAAATCCTTTAAATTGTTCAATTACATCATGGAGGAGGAGGGTTTTAAGGAAGCTGTGGAAAAGGAAATTTCACAAGCAAAGAGTAGGAAGAGGATGAATATTGAGGAGTTACTTAGAGTTATAAAGGTTGAAATCAGGAATTGGTCTAATGGAAGCAGATTGCAACTTCAAAGTTTGATTGACAGCAAAGAGAGACTAATTTCGAACCAAGAAGCTCTATTACAACAAAGGAATCCTTCCGTTTCTATGGTGGATGTTGCAAAAGAAAAAAGTGAATTATGGACATTATATAAAAAAGAAGAATTAGTTTGGTTCCAGAAATCAAGGGCGCAGTGGATTATGGATGGAGATAGAAATTCAAGGTATTTCCATCAATGTGCTACAAATAGAGGGAGGAGGAATGCTCTTAATTCTTTGGATGTGAGTGGAAATTTGATTGTGGATCCGATAAGGATAAAAGCTGCTATTTTTTAATATTTCAAGAACGCTTACAATGCCATTCCGACGGTTGAAGTTGAGAAGTTGGAATTGACTTTTTCTAGACTTTCGGAGGATCAAGTTGCTCAATTAGACATGATTTTTTCGGAAGAGGAAGTTTGGGAAGCAGTTCTTTCTTCGGATAGCAATAAAGCTCCAGGTCCTGACGGATTGAACTTAGGCTTTTTCAAGAAATTTTGGCCGGTTTTGAAAGGTGACATTCTTAAGTTTTTTGAAGATTTTTACAAAGGGAAGAAGTTTGGGAAAGGTGTCAATCATTCCTTCATCACTCTAATTCCGAAGAAGCAGATTCCAGTCTGCATTGAGGATTACAGACCAATCAGTTTGGTAGGAGGACTTTACAAAATCTTGTCTAAAGTTTTGTCAAGAAGGTTAAGGCAGTGCATAGGGGGGTTAATTGGTCATTCTCAATTTGCTTTCATCCCGGGAAGGCAGATTTGTGACTGCTCCTTAATTGCTAATGAAGCAATCGATTTTTGGAGGAGGAAAGGAAGGGAAGGTCTTGTCTTCAAAGTGGATTTCAAGAGGGCCTACGACACTGTTGATTGGAATTTTTTAATCAAAATTATGGAGTGTATGGGGTTTAGTAGAAGATGGAGGTCGTGGATTCATAATTGCTTAAGTTCAACTTCTATTTCAGTTCTTGTCAATGGCTCTCCAACTGAAAGTTTTAACATATCTAGGGGGCTCAGACAAGGGTGTTCTCTATCCCCGCTTCTGTTTAATATAGTGGGTGAATTTCTGAATCTACTACTGTCTAAAGCAGTAGCATTGGGGCTGTTTGAGGGCTTTCAATTAGGTTCTGATAATTCTTCGCCGATGCTGTCTCATCTACAATTTGCGGATGATTTGATTTTTTGTAAAGCTTCAAAGGGTAAATTGGCAAATCTGAAGAGGGTTTTGGTTGTTTTTGAGTTATGTACTGGGCTGCAGCTGAATTTGATGAAGAGCAGAATTTTTGGTATCAATTTACAAGACAACATTGTTGGGGAATGGGCAGATTCTATTGGTTGTTTAAGAGACTCCTTTCCGACAGACTACTTGGGGTTACCATTGGGTGCTAAGAGGAATTCAATTCAACTTTGGGATCCGATTGTAAATAAGTTTTACCAGAAATTAACAGGCTGGAAAATGTCTTCTTTATCAATAGCAGGAAGGACAGTCTTGATTAATTCAGTCTTGAATGCTTTGCCTAATTACTATATGTCACTTTTTAAAATGCCAGTGGTTGTGAGGAAGAAACTGGAATCTATTTTGGCCAACTTCTTGTGGGGTTCTTCGGCTGAGAAGAAAAGGCTTCATTGGGTTAATTGGAATACAGTCTGTAAAAATAAAGAGTTGGGGGGATTGGGAATTTCGGATCTAAAATTATGGAATAGAGCTTTATTGGGCAAGTGGGTTTGGAAGTTTGGTACAGAGAAGGACTCTTGGTGGAAGACATTGATTTGTTCTAAGTACAATGTGGGTTCGAGCTCTATTGTGGTAGATGATAATTTGCCCTTTAATGTGTCTTGGATTTGGAAAGGTGTTTTAAATAACTATTGGTCTAACGACTCATTTGGATTATGCTTTCGAAATAATCTCGTGCTTCAGGTGGGAAAAGGAGAATCTATCAGATTTTGGCTTGATTCTTGGATTTCTAATGTTTCCTTGAAGACTTTGTTTCCTAGGCTCTTTGCTCTGTCTGTTAATAAGGAAGGTGTTGTGGCTGATTTTGGGTGTTTGTCGAATGGGGAGTGGGTGTGGGATTTACAACTTAGGAGGAATTTAATGGATAGTGAGTTTGAGCATTGGATGAAACTGATGGTGTTGCTGGATAATTTTCGCCCGCTGTTGAAGGGTGGAGACCGTGTTGTGTGGAAAGGTAGTGGGGATGGTGAGTTCTCGGTTAATTCTTGCTCAAGATTATTTTCAAGTTTAGCAGAATCTGACAATTCTTGGTTGGAGATTGTGTGGAAGGGCTTAGTCCCACCAAAGGTAGAGATTTTCCTGTGGCAAGTTATTCATCAGAAGATGGCTGTCAAAACTGTTTTATTGAGAAGAGGGGTTAAAGATATCGAAAACCCTCTTTGTGTGTTATGTGGAGAGGAACCAGAATCTGTCAGTCACTTATTCTTTTCCTGTGTCCAGGTTTGGCAAATTTGGATAAAACTACTCCGTTTGTGGAAAGTTATTTCAGTCTTTCCTAATAATCCGAAAGGCTTCTTGCTTTCATGGTTGCATCTTAGACCCTACTCGAATATTTGGAGATTTATTCCAGGAGCAGTTTTGTGGTCTGTTTGGTTGTGCCGGAATCAGATTGTTTTAGAGAATGGCAAGATGGACAAAGATAATTTGTTCTTTTTGGTGAGGTATAGGGTGGCATCTTGGTTTTTAGCAAAAAATAAGGATTTGTCTATTCATTTGGACAGCCTTGTGGGAGATCTTACTTTGGGGGATAAGCATAAATCCCCCTCTAATTTTCGACTGTCAAGATTAAAATGGTGCCCTCCTCCTTCCGGGTACTTTAAGATGAATGTTGATGGGGCAGTCAATTTTGACTGGAAAAGGAGTGGTATTGGTGGAGTTCTTAAAGATGCTGGTAATAACAAGCTGGTTTCATTCTCTACAGCTTTAGGACCTTGTTCTCCTATTCTAGCTGAGATTTATGCGATCAAAGTGGGGTTAGATATGTTTTTTGATTCAGTTTGGAGGGACAAAGGAAATCTGATTTTAGAAAGTGACTCGTTTCTGGCAGTGAAATGGATCAACAGCCCTGATCTCTGCCCGGTTCACCTTGTTGATTTTATTACAGAAATTCAGAAGTCAGTTGGGCTTTATAATGTTGTTATTAGGCATATCAGCAGATGTATTAATGAGGAAGCTGATGGTCTAGCTAAGTTAGGAATTGGATAGTGAGTGTGGAGGTTGTTTTTAGGAGCTGTGCTTTTGGCATTTTATTTTGGTTATGTTTCTTTGTTTAGGCAATCTTTTGTAATATTTGGTAATCTTATGTAATTGTTGGTTATTAATCTACTAAGGCACTCTTTTCCTCCTTCCGCTACTTGTCTCCTTTAAAGAGACAACTATGAGGGAGGTTTTTAATGAGGCATTTTATTCCTATCAAAAAAAAAATATAATCCCAACAAGCAACAGAAAAAATGGAAGAAATAACACATGCCTGATAATTATAAAACAGTCCAATGTGTAAAGACATTCAGAGAAAGAAAGATATGCTAATTACAACCTGATTCCCGAAACATACTACAATAGGCAATATATATGAAGTTATGCACAATTAAGTAAATGGTTAACTTAAGAAAAAAAGGGTAAACTTCATTCTCTGATGGCAGATAGATTAGATCAAGTTTCCCAAATGAAAAATAATAGAGATTCAAAATGAAGCTTAGATACCTGAATAACATAATTCCCATATTGATCTTGTGCTAGAGTGCATACAGATTGCATGATCTCTGCCATGATGATTTCTTGGGTTTTCACATCATTGCAATGTTCCAGCACCCTCTATAAGCATCAACAGCGAGTGAAAATCAATAAAAATAAATGCTAAATTCCCAGAGCAATTAAAGGTTATGATCAGTAAATTTCAAACCTGAATGACACGACACCCATAAGGGTGGGTAGAAAGTGCCACAACTTGGCCATAGAAAGCTGAAATTATAAATTGAATTTGATCCCGAGGAACACACTCGATAGACTTCTGTATAACATGATTACCATTCTGATCACGAACACATTTCATGACTGAGCCATCAAGTTCAGCTACCATTCTAGCCTGCTGGTCCACATCAACCACTTCCAAAGCCTACGGTCATCAGTTTTTTAGCAAGCCTTCATAACCTCATAAACTCAAAAGGACATACAAGCAATTCACATTAACTTTGTGCACCATCCTGCTAAGACAGGACTTCATCTCATACAATTGTCAGAGAAAATTTTCAGACGTTAAGTCATTATGTAACCTTAAATAAGTAAAAATATTTTAAACCGTCGCATGTATTGAAACTTCTATCTATATCCATCAGCAAAATGTTAATCCATCTGGTAACAGACTAGGATTCTTCGGTATTCAAGTACCCCAAACAATAAAACAGCTGTATATATTATAAACAGTCATCAAAAGGGTTCTATGCAGAATGCACAGAATACTAAGCCAAGGAATGTAAGCTAAAATGACTTCAGCATAAGATGTAGGCCACAGCAATCAAGACTAAAATTAACTCCATTAAAACATGGCAATATTTTTTTTCCTTTTTCTTTTAAAAATGATGGGGAGTTACAGTTCATTCACCTTCTGAATCACTCTGCAACCATACATTTGAAGACTGAGAGCCAACACATGACCAGTAAGCTGACTGGCTAGCTCTGCTCTTTGACTTTCTGTACCATGCTCGAAAAACTACAAATCCAGCTCCAGAATTAGACCAATTGATTATAAATGCATGATCAGGATGATTCACTGATTTAAATTAGAAAATCGTGAAGCACATACTTTCTGTATGACATAATTTCCAAAAACATCAGTCATCAAAGCACGAACATGAGGAATAATCTCAGGAAATATTTTGTTCTTCTCTTTCTCCGTGGCAGTTTCCAATTTCTGTTGAATAAAGCGACTACCATATTGGTCCGTACTGCATTGCACAATATAGTTAGACTCAGAAACATACAAGCATCAGTGCACTTATAACATATGAGAAGGCCCCATGTCATGTACCTGAATTCAACAACATGGTCAACAATATCTAAGAGTTCAAAAGACCTGGTCTTGTTGTTCTTAAATTCATCTAATAAAGATGATATGTATCTTCCATTTGCAATATTACTAATATCCGATTGCCAACCCCCTACCGAGTTTCTCATCATTGAATTAAAATGTGCATTTCTATCATTCTGTATACTTCCAGAACCAATGGACGGGAGTACAGAAATTTCCAGTGGATTTCCAGTAAATGGCTTGCCAAGACTATATGAGGGATTCCCATAATAGCCATGATTCAGACCACCAGCCTTGGCCAAAAGTGACAATTCATACTGTTGCTTCTGTTCGGTTAATACTGCTTCCATATATGCTTTTTGAAGGCCATTCAAATCCCCTTGTAAAGTACCAGCATAGTTCCCAGCAAGCAGAGAACTAGAAGTAGCTGCAGCAAGCGTCCCATACTGAGAAGTTTTTTGCAGGTATTGGATATATCGAGGATCTATAAGTGGAAAAGGATCAGACCCTTGAATTCCAGCTCCACTTAAACTTCCTCTATCACCAGTACCAGTCAAAGAGGAGCCTAAAGAAAACATACAACAAAATATGTTAAAGAAAAATGTATAAAATGATAAGCTCCCAACAAAAAGGTAAAAGTTTTCAGAAGATAAAAATACCTGCATTTAAATGGCTCTTAATCACTGAATTCAACTTCTGGTTAACAGAATAAGTAGCAGGTAAGTGGCCAGTGAAATCTGTGTTTGCAAGATTCACATTGGGCTGACCAACATCAGATCTTTCTGAAAGTCCAAGTCCTGAATGCGCTTTTGCATAAAGATCTGCAGAAGAGGATGTTCTTCTGGGAAGGCTGACTTTCCCGTTGGAAATAATCTTAGAAGGAATAACATTCGGTGCAATCCCCTTTTTCCTAGTGGAGTCAACATAGTTTGTAGAAAATGGGAGTTTTTCTGCATTGGACTGGTCGATGAATTGCTGCTGCACACTCTGAATGGGCATGTTGAATGAAAAGTCCAGCTTATTATCCAAATCAGCCTGACTATGAGAACGCATATGAGCATTCTTATCTACATTTCCAGTTTTCGACAAGCTCAATCCAGATAATGTGGCTGCAATTTCAGTAAGTTCAGGCACAGCAGTTGAACGCCCATTTTGGACATTAGATCCGATAATATTCTTTTTTTCTGTGTGGCTGATCTTGCTTCCAACAGGAGGAAGTCCAGCACCAGGAGACTTCCCAACCAAATGCTGTTCAGGGGTTGTACTTCTCGATAAGGATGCACCCACAACAGATGCAAAAGAGTTAGAAGTGATTTTACCATGGCTCTGAACTCCAATCATACCTGGATGAGCTACTCCAGCAGGAAAGCTCTCCATTGACTCCAGTCCATTAAAAAAACCTGGTGGTCCAGAATCGGCAATTCTAGGTTCATCTAGCATTTCACTGAAAGCGTTACGACTTGCTGGACGTGAACGGTGACCTGATAAGGTGGCAGGTCTATCAAGTCCATCCTGGAGGAAACTATCATGTCAGTTCCACTACAGAACATGTTAAATTAAATAAATGGTATTTCACTTAGTCGATGACCCATTTTCAATAGAATTAGGTCAGACAATGTGTTCGATAAATATCAAGATATTTCAAGCATGAAAAATAGAAAAGAACGCAGATAGTATAAAAAAAAGTACATCATTGATAAAACAAACAAAAAACTTAACGAAAATAACTATAAATCATTATCCAAGACATGAAAATAATTGGATACATCCAAATATAAATGTTGCAGAGAAATTAAATGAAGGGCAAGCGAAAACAATGTAGGGTCTAGAAGCTGAAATTTGATACCCTTCTTTTCTTCGTACCACTTATTTTGATCATCATATAAAGTGTACAAGTTCTTATTGCATTGTTGTTTGTATCACACAATTTCCATCAAAAGCCTTATAGCAAGAAAGACAAGCAAAGAAGCAGAGAAGAGTTTCACAACAGATACACCAAGCAAATAAAATATATATTAAAGTACCTATATATCTAGGGAATCCTGGAAGTTGTTTCTTCTAGAAAATGTCTTGAGTAAATAATATAGAGGTCAAAAGATAAGTCCGACAAAGAAAGAATTAAATGACAGTGAAAGGAAAATTGAATTGGTGATGCCGGATTGAAGCTGAAACAATCTGAGAAAAAAGGAGAGTCTTCAACCTATTTATAACCAAACATATCAGATATTCAGAGAACTTCATCCCAATGATTCAAAGGCATATTGAAAATAAATACAAAAATCTTGTTTCATCACAGCCACGAGGGAAAATGGAAGAAAAAATACATTAAACAAATAAAAGGAAAGCACCTATACGGGAAATCCATATTGACGAAAATATAATAAAGAAAAAGGGACAAAACAATCCAAATCAATTAACATTAAGAAGAATCATGTTACAACGAGGTTAAAAAAACTACGAACTCATCAACTGAACTGGAGGCTATATCACCTGAAGAATGTCGGCAAAACTCTTCCTCCTTGCACCAAGCCCAGAACCAGAAAACCCAACAAAACTGTCCGAGCCTTTATCAAGCCAGTCATCTGACAGCTTCCTGGGAAAATTCTTTGCATTGACACTCCTTAGCTCCAGCAAATCACTTTTTCCTTGTTGAGCAGAAAGACCAGGCTGCACTGAAAATAGTGATGAACTATCGCCACCCTCATCGAACTTTTTCTTTCTCCAGTCCCCGATGCTCCCAAGGGAAGACCCACCGGCCTGAAACCTTTGTGCAACACGCCAATCCTCTTTTGATAACAATGGTGGAGGCAGCCTCGGATTTATGTTTTCAGGAGAGTAATAATATGAAAGATATGCAGGATGCAAGCGAATCTCATCTTCAGACATTCCATTATTGCAACTATTGCTGCTAACACCAGTGATACCATTAATGTCTCGAAAATCAATATTAGAAAAAAGACTACCAACAGCACTCAGTGATCCCTCGACTGTGGGTGGAGCACTGCCACTCCTATATATATTAAGATCCCTTCCATGACCCACAAATTGTTGATTACGATGTGCTTGCAACATCAATTCTAACTCAGTCAAACTATCTTCCAAATTCCCACTAGGTCTTTGTAAACCATTATCTATAGTCGGTAGCATATCTATGTTACTGCCAGTAGCCATCCCAAAACCTGCATCCACAAAAAAGTTCAATTCATATATGCACATAAACTAGCTATAATTTCAATACGTCAAGATAATCAAACCCCGTCATTAAAACCTTAATGTATATGTAGTTCACTTCTCCATTTACAAATGGATTTTGTGTTCAAAGATACTACCAGATAACACAAAATAATAGTGTTTCACACAGAAATAATAAAACTTTTCCCATTACTTTTTAGTACTTTCTCAGCAACCGAAAAGAGCTTAATAGAAAGAGAAAATAACCTCAGTGACCGAAATTTCCTTATAATATACGATTTTGACCAACTTTTTTTCGATTTGCCAAAATAACCAACAAAATCGCAATGTGATCTCTAAATCGCAACGCGATCTCCAGTTTCGCAAATCAGTTTCCAGATTCGCAACGTGATTTTGACTATCGCAACGCGATAATACATAATCGCAACTCGATTCTGACTATCGCAACGCGATTCTGACTGCCGCAACGCTGAATTTCAAATTCGCAACAGGTTTTAGTTTCGCAACACAAATGTTTTGGGTATATAACTACGCAGCAGCAGCAACTCATAACCTAAATCTCTAAATCGCAACTCATTCCATCTCCATCTATCACTCTCTCCGGCGACATCCATTCCTATATCCAACGACATCCTTCCCCATCCGGCAACAGGTTTTAGTTTCGCAGCTCATTTGTTTAGTAAATTAATTTACAATAATAAAATCATCTAATGTTAATCATGTTTAGATAGATTTGTGTTTTGGAGGGTCATGAGAGAATGTTCATGGTGTTTTACAATATATGTCTTTACCCATGAATCTTCAACTAAAACTGTCATTAAAAAAGTTAACTTATGAAACTCTAATGTTACGTGTTGCAAATAAATTGAATTTAAAGCCCTTAAGTGGATTTAGGTTATCTTATCAGAGAAAAATTAAAGTTTATTTGTTAACCGACAATGAAGATGTTGAACGATTCATTGCTTACATTAGTGTTTCGCAAGATGATGTTACATCGTATGTTGTTGAACCTAGAAGTAGTGAAGTTGAGTCAGTAGCGGATAGTAATCAACTAAGTTTTTCAACCCCAGTTTATCGTGCTCAAAATTTAATGGTTCCACCACAATTTCATCACCAAGCAAATTTTGTTTCACCACATTTTCAATACCAAACACAATCTCAAAACCCACAACCTTTCCCTAATCCAAATCTCAATCAACCTTCAGCACCAAATTCCGGTTTTCGTATTGACCAGTTAGACGATGATGAGTCAACAGAAAAAATTGTGAGTACTAGTCAGTATTCGAAATTTGATCTTGGTCAATACCCGGACTTTGATCTTGGTCAATACTCAGATTTTGATGATGTTTCAGAAGAAGAAACAGACCCTGCGTGTAATGATTTTGATATTGGTCAATACCCGAATTTTGATGATGAAACAGCCGCTGCCGAAGAAGATGATGATAATGAGGAGGAAGTTATAACTGTGAATGAACATGTTGAACATACATTCTGTAATTCATATAACCCTGAAGAAGAAGAAGAAAAAAAGAAGAAATCCCCGAAGAAAAGTTCCCGAAGAAAATGCCACGGGAGTATAACTGGAATATGCCAGAATTACTTCAGATACCGGATTTGGTTGATTTGGTTGATTTTCCATTTCTGATTGTGAATGATTGTGAGGGTGGCTCTGAGAGATGGAGATAGACGGATTTCGCCGGAGATGGGGACGGATTTTGTCGGAGATGGGGGCGGATGTCGCCGTAGAGAGTAAGAGATGGAGATGGGACTGAGTTGTGATTTAAGGTTTTAGGTTAAGAGTTACGATTACGGGATATATTAATATTCGTGTTTGGAATTTGAAAATAAAATACGCATTGCGATACTAATGGCGTTTTGAAAATCGCATTGCGATTTTGTATTATCGCGTTGCGATAGTCAGAATCGCGTTGCGATTATGTATTATCGCGTTGCGATTTACATATTCGCATTGTGATTTTCTAAAATCGCAACGCGAATTTAGAAAATTGCAATACGATAGTCAAAATCGAGTTGCGAATCTGGAAATTGATTTGCGATACTGGAGATCGCATTGTGATTTTGTTGGTCATTTTGACAAATCGAAAAAAAGTTGGTCAAAATCGTATATTATAAGAAATTTTCGGTCAAAGTTATTTATTCAAAATTCAATACAAAAAGAAGCGACTTTACAACTTCGTTTATTTAATAAATAATAATCAGGATCATAAAAAAACAATATCTTTAAATTCTAATCTCAGCAGATGAACAGAGTTCAATCTAACATTAGAATTCAATATCAAATAAACAATTTTTTCCCATCTTAAAGGGTCTCATGTTAAGCAACCACACCGAGCATAAGAGCATTTCAATCGTAAAAACAAAAAACAAGCAAATCCTTTTTTTCCGAAAAAAGAAAATCCACAACATTATCTCAACATCTAACCATTTAATTGAAGGAAAAGCACGTTAACAAAAAAAAATCCACTGCATTTCCCCATCAATCGCACAGCTTAGTAACATTAAACTTTAACAAAAAATTAAAAACAAAATTCACGCATTTCCAGCATCAATTACTAACGAATTATCAAAATCAATCACCTACAAAACCCAACCCATAAAAAAAATCAGTAAAATTATTTATTTCAATTATTAACGGCGTGATAAAAGAGAAACTTGCCTGCTTGAAGATCAATACTCGTTTTCGTAGGATGAACTCGAAGTTTTAAACCCAAAAATAAATATGGATCGAAACTCTAGCAAGAGAAATAAATTTTATTCAAAAAATAGGGAGAGGAAAAGGAAACCTTTTAACGGAGGGGAAGAGGGAGGCGAGGTAAAAAGGAGATCGCTAATTGAAAACGGCAATTTTCCCCCTTTTTCATTTTGTTGTGAAATTTTTAAACAATAATAAAGTAATTAGAAAACGTAAGATTTTATTTATATTTTAGAATTTTATTTTATTTCTTCTAATTCTTAATTTAAAAATAAATATTCATATTATAATTTTTTAAGTATTTAATTTTTTATCAGAGTATATATTTAATTTAAAAGTTTATTTTTAAATATTTACTAAAAAACTTTATTAAATGATATTAAAATCATAAAATAAAATTATTTTATTAAAATAAATTAAAATTTTAACATCTAAAGTTTATTTTATCTCCACGTTAATACTTATTTGCATTAATTATTTGGGCTATAAACAGCCCAGCCAATGTCAAATCGGAAATTAACGAAACATGTTAGTGTCAAAAAAGGAACTCAGATCATAGCTGGACAAATCTAGATAGAGTCTAGAGAATTCGAGCAACGCGGCAGGAGCTACCAGAATCTGCCACGTCATTTACTTAGCCTAGAAAATAATAATATAAAAATAAAAATATCTTACCAACATAAATACTTAAATATCCGAGACTCGATTGCCAGATACTACTGGTTTAGTTTCTTGGAAGGAAAGGAAAAACAGAGTTCTTGGCAAAAAAAAAAAAATTAACACTTTCTCACAGGTTCGAAGACCACTAGAGAGAGAAAAAAGCACAATTAGGTCTTGTTGATACCTCCGGTTCTGTTCTTCACACAGGTTTGTTCTCATTTCCTTTCTGGGTTTTATGGTTTTAATTCCCGATTACAAATTTTCTAGCTTGTTTCCCAAGACAGAAAAAACATACCTCTTTGTTTCTTTTGTTAACTAGAAGTTAATTTCGATATCGACTTTGAATGAAGTGCAGATTTCCATAGTTCTGAAGAAACTAAAATATGGGTATTTGTGAGAATCGAAATCCAAATGTGGGTACTCCTCCGTTGACGGATTCTTGTAGAAAAAGGAAGAGGAGAGATGGTTTATCAGTTGCCGATACTCTGAAACAATGGAGTGAAAATGGGGAGACAAAACGAGCGCTCAAGGCCCCAGCAAAGGGCTCCAGAAAGGGGTGTATGAAAGGCAAAGGAGGCCCTCAGAACCAAGCTTGTATCTACAGAGGCGTCAGGCAAAGGACTTGGGGTAAATGGGTGGCTGAAATTCGAGCCCCTAATAAAGGGAAACGACTCTGGCTCGGTACTTTCCCCACCGCCTTGGAAGCTGCTTTAGCCTACGATCAAGCCGCCGTGACCATGTATGGCGATAAAGCCATCTTAAATAATCCCCGTGCTTCGGCTACGAGTTCGGAGGCTACGTCGGATACTCGTGCCAACTCCGACTCGAGTTGCTCTGAAATCTACGATGGAAATGTGGGCGGCGATGCGATGGATAATACGACTACGATCGGTGATGCGAGCAACGGTGAAGACAAAGCGAAAGAGGAGGTGAAAATAACAGCGGATGAGTCCATGGAAGAGATGGATTATGGTTGGCTTAATGGATCGGAGTTTATGGATGATGTCTCGCTGAATGACTTAGGGAATAGTGTGTGGGGTGGACGACCGTTTTTTAGCGAGGACGAGTGTTTTGATATAAATGAGCTTCTGGTTGACTTGTAGATTGACATTCTTTTTATACGTATTTTTATACGTTCTAATGAATCATATATAACAATTGCAGTTATAACAAGTGTAATGTATATTTAATTTATTTTGATTTTGATTAATTGATGGATTAATTTGAATTAGATATTTTAAAACTGAATAAATTCTTGTAATCATGGAAGTCCATTTCTGGAGCTTTCATGGAGTTTCAAGATATGAGCATGGACAAATGACGAACAACTGGAACGATTGCTGCGTAGTCCGTAAAATTTAGTTTAATACGTTAAGAAAAAATAGAAAAAAAATTAGACCTCCATTCTTAATTTATGGATTGTCATTGGAGGAAATACGATTGAATCGAGGATGGAATCTGCAGGATGCTGTTGTAGTGAAGATGAGTGCTTTATAAACGGCTTCTTCCTTGACTCGTGAGGTTAATATTTTTGTTGCAGTTTGTAGGACATGTCAAAGGCCAGACAGATTAACAATCGTTTATTTGTTTTAAATGTTGTTGAGAAAGAAGAGAAACGGAAGGTTGAAGAAAGCTAAACCATTTCCCACATCAAACTGTTTCTAATTCTTTAGTTAAGAGTTTACCAATGATAATCTATCAATTATGACGTTAAACACACGTGCAATGCTTACTTACGTGATTGAAAATCCATCCATTTCTATTATAAGCGTCGATGGATTGGAAAATTTTCAGAGAGCTGTTGAGAACGGAAAAAGAAAGCAATCTAACATAATCTGAATGGTAAGGGTTGCTGTTTATTTTATAAATAAGCTATTTAAAATTTAATATCAACATTTTAAAAGCCAACCGACCTTAGCTCAGTTGGTAGAGCGGAGGACTGTAGTGGGTATCCTCATGGCTATCCTTAGGTCGCTGGTTCGAATCCGGCAGGTCGGATTTTCATATTTTATTTAATTTATTTTTACTTTTACTTTCTCACAAACGTTGTGTATAATATTTTCCTTCTCATTTGTTTCTTTCATTTTCAGATTGTAAACGATCATTAATATTTTTTAAAATTACTGCTAATTTACTGTTTTTATTTAACTTGAAGGTCTTCGAAGAACTGGTCGGATAAATGCCTCTGTTACATCCATGGGGTGGCCCAATATACTGTCATAAGGGCTGACGATGTCCCATGTGTAGTTTTTTTTAGGGTTTTGGTTTTTATATTATTTTCTCATCTGTAATATGTAAACATAATAATAATTCGTTTTTATTTTTAAATATTTAGTTTTTTTCGTGTCCTTAATATAAGGATCCAACAACATTAAACCTAAGTCTTAGAAAATTCAAATAGCCCAAATGAAATGCAAAGAAAATGAACTTACACCTAAAAGTATATCGAAATAGTATAAATTCGAATAAAATCCGATATTTATACTTAGAATTAATAAAATAAAATAAAAGATATAATATAATTGTTTTCTGATCATTCTTCCATATTTACGTAAAGATTTTTTTTGAACTTCTCAAGCAATTTTAGTGGTAAATGGAATTATTATTCTTTTTTGAAATCTTAAGTTCGAACAATTACAAAGTGAGTTAAATTTGACCAGTTTTTGTGTCACACCCCAAAAATATTGAGGTTAATTATTAGATTAAAATAAGTTAATTTAAGGACCAAATTGTGAATTTCTAAACTTTATGAGTAAATATCCTAGTCATGTAATTCAAGGATTAGTCCCTGAATTTAACCATCGATCCTCTGCAAAGGGGAAAAGAAGAAGGAAAAATGAAATTTGGTGGATTTGAACCGGTCCCCTAAAGCTAGGTGGTCATACTAGGGATGGGCATGTGACCCGAATTTGATGGACCCGACATGATCAGGTCGGGGTTTTTTTTATTTGGGTTCGGGTCGGATTCGAGTTTAGGGTGAGAATACCCGACTCGACCCGGAAAAAATATTATTTTTCAATTAAATAACTATTTTTATTGAATAAAAATAATATTTTTTTTATTATTTTGGGTCGGGTCGGATTCGGTATTTATCTAAAAAAGTTGGGTTGGGTTCGGGTCAGGTGGAGGATATATATTATGCGGATCAGGTCGGATTTCAGGTGGATGAGTCATTGTTCTCGGGTCGGGTCGGGTGAACCAAAAATCCGATCCAATCCGACCCATGCCCATCCATATCCATACCTTAGTCAACTAGATTAGGTAACTATTGGCTATTAAAATAATAAAAATTTATCTCTTATTATTTCAGCTATACCACATTTCCCCTATTTTGGAACCAAAACCCAAAAATCAAATCCCCAAAAGTCTATCAGCAGACCTTGTGTGGAGGCTAGTTTGGTTTAAATTTGTCCCTCCTAAAGTCTCTGTTTTTGTGTGGAAAGCAGTTCACCATAGGTTGCCGGTTATGGTCGAGCTACTAAAAAGGGGCGTTAACTGCATAGATCAAGTTCGATGTTTATTTTGTAATTTGGAACTAGAAGTAATTAATCATGTTTTATGTCATTGCACTGTTGTTTGGGAAGTTTGGCAAAGATGGTGCTCGGTGTGGAATGTTAGTTTTGTGTTTCCGAAGTCTGTTAATCAATTGTTAGTGGTCTGGTTTTCGCAAAGTGTTAGGAGGAGAGTTAGGCCAATTTGGTGTATCGGTTTTTTTGGTCTGCTTTGGGTTATTTGGATTTGTAGAAATAACTGCAGATTTAACAATGCGGCTTTCTCGGTGGACCAGATTTTCTTCAAAGCTTTGTTACAGATAGGAATATGGGTGAATTACTTGTGGCCGAATATTTTACCAGTGGTGTCGGATTTTATTCGTATTCCGGAAGCTATCATTCAGGGTGTGCGCTAATGGAGAATACGGGTGCAGCTTTATTTCGGGCGCTAGCTATAGCCATTTCAGTATGCTATTCTGTTTATTATATTCTGTTTCTGCGCTTTGGTTCTGGTTTATTATTGGATCCTTGGCCGGTCTTGTAGTCCTTTCATGGTTGATTGTGCTGTCTTGCCATTGACTGGGGACTCGCATAGTGGAGCTGGGTTGTGGATGCAGTTTCTCTTACTATTGAAGTGGTATTCTGGCTTTTGTCTACTATCTTTCTCAAGCATTTGCTTCTCGGTTTTATGCTAGAGGACTGTTACATGGTTCCTTACTAGGTTTAGATGAGCGTTGTTCATGTTGTTTTGTGTAGTTTGTAATGTGGTTTGTGTTATCGGTTTTTCGTTTCAGAGTCTCGGGTGATTTTGGTTGCTCTTCTTTCTACCCCAAGGTTTACTCTTTTTCTTCTATATAGGTTTAGAGAGGTTTTTTAATGAGGTCCTTGGGGTAGTGTACTTTGATATTCTTAATCAAAGTACCCTCTTTCAAAAAAAAAAATTAAGTTGTATCATTAAATTATATTATGTTGGATTCTACTTTTCAAATACTATTATAATAACAATGATACTTACTGAATTAATATTACATTTAAAAAAAACTAATATCCTAAATTACATAATTATACATTAATAGCATCAGACATAATAGCTTGATGGATAAAATTAGGATAATCAAGCTTCCAAAACAAATCATCCTCGTTTACTAAACTATATTTAGCAATTAAATTAGCCACTTGATTCCCTTCCCTTTCGATGTGGTGAAAATAGCATTCTTCAATTGTCCCCATCACACTTTTCCCTTCATAGACTATACAACTTAACTGAGATCCATGGTCAACGTCCTTAGTCAAGAAATTGCTTAAAATCCCAACACAATCACTCTCTAATATAACCCGCCGGTACCCCATTTCACGCGCCACCTCCAATGCCTTGAGCGCCGCCGTAGCTTTGCAAGTGCTGGCCTCTGTTACCACATCTATTTTGATGGCCGCACCTCCCCACACGAAGCCTTCATTGTCCCTGACTATAATGCCTATGCCTCCTTTCTTTCCGTGGTCATCAAAGAGTCCGTCGAAATTAACTTTATATACACCCAGTGGTGGCGGATTCCATCGAATCCTTCTCGCGAAAACGATTCGTTTCGGTCTTTCGAAGTCGAAATCCGAGTTTTTCTTCTTGCTTGGACCTTTTTCGTGCACCAAGTTGCCGTTTCTAAAATTCCATAGTGCCCATAGGAGGGTAAGTAGCCATTTGAAATCTTCGTTGGTTATGTGCTGAATCGCCAACTCGAACCAGTGGGCTCCATTTGCGAAAATCTCACATAGAATGGCTTGGCATAATCTCCATCCGAATGTTGTGAGTTTGGCAGGCACAAGGACGTCCCACATCGTTTTCCAGATTTTTATTTGAAGTCCTATTAAGAACACCAACTTCATCACATTTATAATGTCAATATGCTTTGATATCATTTCAAATTGCAAACTATAGATATAATTATATAAACATTAATAAATGCTTTAATATTTAACTAATTCTATCCGTCATATTTGAGTTTTTGAATATTCAATCGTGATTACAAAATAGTATATGTTTAGAAAAATTCTTAGTTATTAACAACAAACCCTGAAAATGCAATCATTCAAACTCGAAAACTCTAAGAAGAACAACTCTCTAATATATTTGTGAGATTGTTATGGTGGAAGCACCTTAAAGTATAAGGATAGAAACGTTATAGGCTTATTTTTAACAAATAAATAAACACCTAAAATTAACTTTGAGTATATTTTAAACATTTATTTTTAAATTAAACCATAAAATTATTAATACAACAAATATATAGTACACAAATCTAGTGAAAAACTTACAATTTTGTTAGTTCAAAAGATTGCTCATTTAGTATCTCAAACACACACACGCGTATAATTTAGCCTTTATAAATATTATGAAAAGAAAACTTTAACCATGCAATGTTTGATAGAAAAAGGCTTTGCTGGAGAGAGAAACAAAACTGATTTTCTATATTTTTTGTGTTCTGTTTTTTTTAACAAAAAAAAAGGTATAAAAATAAAACGTACCATCTTGAAAAGCTTGAGAGAAATGAGGAGGAGAAGATGGTGCATGAAAGGCTCACAGTCCCACCATGATAACTCCTTCACCATGCCTTCTTTCTTCCTCCTCAAACCCATCTTCTGATCTCTCAACTCTCAGAACAAACCCTTTTTTGTTTTGTTTTGCCTTTCTTTGATTCTTTCTCTAACATAAGCCCACGAAGCAGCTCCATATAAAAGGGTCGTTCAAGTTTAAATAAAATATGTATATTATCGATCTCGTGAAAATGAGACATGTGAAGATGAAGTGAATTATTTTGGTCATAATGAAACAAATCAATTATAGGGTCAGAGTTGTGCAGATTTTTAGGAATTAAGTACTATTTGTGGTGTCCTCAAAACCCACGTATACGTACATAAAGTCAGCGTTCCTTTTTTGTCGTTTTGGGAAAATTTTCGAGACGTGCGTTGAGGTTATCATCGACAATTCCACATCTCCTTTGACCTGCCTTTTTCAAAGGATTCCTTCAATATTTATACGCATTAAAGCTTGGGTGCCAAAGTTTATCTTACAGATCTACACGTATTTATCACATGGGATTTAGATTTTTGTATGATATTAATATTTGACTTAATATCATCAGGTTAAAGTGGTAATAAGTTTTATACAGAGTAAGTAATGTTAAGTTTGAATCTTTGTATATGCAGAAAATATCTATCGATAGATTCGTTCATCAAAATTAGATGTACGACACGAATCAGTCTATATTAATCATGACAAAACCATGTAATTAGAGTGCAACTAAAAATAATATTTCACTTAATTATAAAAAAAGAATCAACAAATAGATATGTACGTAAGCCAATAAGTATTTTTTATTCAAATAAAATCACATAGCATATGTCCCATATCCCTTATTGTATAAACAACATTAATCTAAATGGAAAATTTTATCACACTGCAACGATGAGCACCACTAACGACAAACATTATTAATTTAATTATAAAAATTTAAATTTTAAAGGATTCAACGTATAATTATAAATTAATTAAAGTTTTAAATATAAATTATTTAAAATAAATGATAAACTATACCATTGATCACTTATTGCCTTTTTTTCATTTTGACCAATATTTTTAAATTTTTACCAATCAAGTCACTCAACTATTTAAATGCATTCAATTAAGCCACTTGCCGTTAATATTTAATGGATAAACTATTGTGACAGTTAAAATATATGGTATAATTACATATTTGGTCACTACTACTTATATATTCTGTCAATTTGATACTAATTTTAATAAATTAAAATAAAACTCTCAAATCTTTAATTTTAAAAGATTTTTAGAGTTACGAAATATTATATATCTATAACAAAATAAAATTTTTACTAGAAATTCTATTTATGTTTCTCATAATCATCCCGTCAATGATACCATAAACTCTTTTGGTTTTAAGGAAAATATAGTTGATTAACCCATGATTAACCCATGCATATAAAGTTTGTATGAATTTTTTTTTATTCTACTACTATTTGTAAACGACATTCTACTAGAAAAATGTAAGATATATTTCTTTCACGTTTGCACAACCTTCCTTTAAAATTTTTCTAAAAAAATTTTATCCAGTAAATTTCAAATAGAAAAATGTAACATATATTTCTTTCACGTTTGCACAGTCTTCCTTTAAAATTTTAAAAATTCATCTCCTGCCATAAAATTTTATATCCATCTTTAATAAAAGTTTATATTGATAAGATTCTTGGTGGACTTAACACGGGAAAATTTGCACTAAGAGATTGACCTATATCAAAAGGGCGATAAATTTAGTTTGTTTAAAATTTAATATCATAAATTATTGATTAAGTTATCCAATTTTTTAGAAAAGGTTTTGTATAAATTTTGTTTTGTTATAAATATAGAATATGTCGTAACTTTTAAAATTAGAATAAATTAAAATAAAAATTTAAATTTTGGGTCATTATACATGGCACCATTTGATTTGATGGTTAAGTTTATTTGGATTTATTAAAGTTAGGACCAAATTAATAGAATATATAACTAACAGTGATAAAATGTGTAATTATACCAAATATTTTAACTACCACATCAACTTCTCCATTAAATATTAATGACAAGTGGCCTAATTGAATGTATTTAAATAGTTGAGTGACGTGATTGATAAAATTTCAAAAATATTGGTCAAAATGAAAAATGACAATAATTGGGTGGTCACTTGTATATTTTACTCTTTATTTTAAATAATTTATCCTTAAAATTTTAACTAAATTTTAATTATACGTTGAGTCATTTAAAATTTAAATTTTTATATATTAAATTAATAGTACTCGTCGTTAGTTATGACCAACGCTATTCGTCAAGCGTAGAAGAATCATCTACTATTCTTTTATTAAAAAGGAGTAATGAGTAAGAAAACTAGTTGTGTGTAATTTTAAAATTTAAAATAAAATAAAATAAAAGTTATTTTCTATTTTTTTAGATTAATTTTTTTGGTAACTAAAGACAAATTAATCTACTATACTAAACTATCCTATTTTTTTAGATTATTGTTCCACACTTGAAGGAGACGATTTTTATAGCTGCTGGACAGCTTATTTCGAGTTGAAAAATCTTAAGATAATTCTTTTATAGAATTAAAATTAAAGATAATACATTTGTTTGGATGATAAGAAAATTAGGGATACCACAGGAAAATTCTACATTGATTAACTAGCAGCGATGAATATCATTAACGACGAGCACTATTAATTTAATTTATAGAAATTTTAATTCTAAAAGATTCATCGTATAATTATAGATTAATTAAAAATTTAAAGATAAATTATTTAAAATAAAGGGTAAACTTAAGCCACTCGCCGTTAATATTTAACGGAGAAGCTAATGTGATAGTTAAAATATTTGTTATAATTACACATTTGGTCACTATTACTTATATATTCTATCAATTTAGTCCTACTTTTAATAAATTAAAATACAATTGATATAATGTATTAAATGAGGCCGTTCATAGTTGATATGTAGAATTATTTATTTCTTAAAAAAATCAAACACATATTCAATAGGATTCTATATAATTTGTTTACTCCTCTATCTATTATCGCTATTAAATAAATTTTAAAATTACATGTTTAATATAAATGTTTTACTCATATTAATAGATTTTTTGGGCAGGTAAATAGTTTTTTAGTTATGCTATTTCAAAACAATTAGATATTGTACTGCTTGTGACTTTCTATTAAGTTATTTCTCCGTCTATCATCGACTGGCTTTGTTGATAATTGCTTAGAATATATAATGTCGATGTATTTAATCATTTTTATTCTGAATTATCCATATTAATATACTTTACTAAGATTAGAATCAAATTGATAGAATATATAAGTAACAATGACTAAATATGTAATTACACCAAATATTTTAACTACCACAACTTCTTCGTTAAATATTAACGACAACTGCTTAATTGAATACATTTAAATAGTTGAGTGACTTAATTGACAAAATTTCAAAAATATTAGTCAAAATGAAAGGGATAATAATTAGGTGGTCACTGGTATAATTTACTTTTTATTTTTGAAATTTTGTCAAAAATATTGGTATTTGGAGTTCTTTATGATATTAATACTAGGGTTTATTTAAAACATAATTATTTTCATTATATATTTTATTTGGGTGTTTAATTTTTTTTATCAAAGTAATTGTTTAATTTTTTTATTATATTATTGTTTTAAGGACCAATTTGTCAATTTATGTGAAAAAATATAATCCAACGAATACTTGATGAGTAATTATTTTTTTTTCAAAGTAAAAAGTTTTTAATTTCTCAAAATTTTTAAAATTTTAAATTTCTAAAACTTTTAAAACTTTATATGTCATCCCTGAATATTACCTCACCGTCGTAATAATAAAATCTTCTCGTATCGCAAGAGTCAGCAAGTCCACATCTTGACAACTCTCATATGTCTTGTGTCGTCATTCATGTAGCACATACTCTCATTCGTTGGTCGTGGCACATCGTTTGTTGATCTACAGCAATAAAATAATGGGATACTCGATTGTGAGATCTGACGATAGAAAGAGTGATGATGGTTGAATCGACGATGAAGATAAGGTTTTAGGGATTTTTACAATATAAGAATTTTAGGGGTTTTTGAGAAAATTAAATTTTTAGTTTCTTTAACTTGCTTAAAGTTATCGTTTTCGTCTCTTTCGGAGCATTACTCGAGCTGCATAAAAGTTCAAGTTCTCTGTGGTACTAAAACTTAGGGTGAAGAACACGTGGAAGAAAGAAATGGTCTTACAGATGAAATAAAAAAAGTGGGTTCTTGTTAGAAAGATGGAATCACATAACAATTGAAACAAAAATAAAGTCAATATCCTATCGTTCTTCTCGAGCTTGTAAACTATCAATAATTATAGCCGAGCACACGCCGAGAGATAAGAATTAGGATTATCGCAAGTTAAACCATTTTAAGAAGCAAGAGCTGCATTTTTATTTGATCATTATCACGGCTGTAATGGTAGGTTCATCTATTGCAGGGCAGGCTCAGTGTACGAGTATATATATATATATATATATATATATATATATATATATATATATATATATATATGTCCTTGAAGGATGTTTGAAAGTCGAACGGAGGTGACCACAATAGAGAAGATGAACAACCAAAGGAGATGTGCGACACAGATGGTGGGAAAACTTGAGTTCGGCAGAGGTGCAAAAGCGTATTAAAAGAAAGGATAAATTGAAAAATAGTCTTTAAATTGCTTTGGATTTAAAAAAAATATATATGATTAATATTTTACCTAAAGTTTATAAATTAAAATTAAAAACTCTTTTATTAATATGCCACGGTAATGACATTCAACGCCTCAATAATCAAAACTTAATAAAACGATAACGCAAGTGATCAAAATTTAACTTAAAAAAATTAAAATTTTATTAGTAAAAGTAGTGCAAGTAAAAATGTGCAAAAAATCTATAAAATTAAAACGGTGTATTGATATTCCAATACAATATTAATTATCTTGGCCTAACACCGTCCGAATATTGGGTGAAAGTTTGGCAGGTAACCCAACATTAGATAAGTGCATATGGGTTAGGTAGTGTTAAATTTCAATAAAAAGATTTGTTTATTATTAAATCTAATACAATGACTCAGATCTTCCTTTATTAAGAAGTTATTATTTTTATGTCTAAACACATTCAAATTCATATTTTTTTTTAATTTTATAATAACGGTCTTAGTTAAATTAAAACTCAATTAATATATATTACTTATTGCTTAAATATATTTTTTGTAATGACAATTATATAACAAATGAGACATTTAAATCGATTAAATTTTATTTGAGTTGAAATTTGATGCATTACCTTTTTAATCTATAATTTAAAAAAAATAATTTTATCTATCAAATTTTCTTTAAAAATAATATTATCTATCAACTTCTAATATACTAGATATTCATCCATGAATCGTGAAAAAAACTACTTGTTAATGACGATTAAACTTACTGGGCTATATATTGTTCACTGATGGGCTCGGTTCACATTGGGCTTTTTCATTTAAGATTACGTAGCTTACTACAGGAAATAAATCAGTAGTGATTTAAAAATGAGAAATTATTTCATGATTGTCCAAAATGAGTGGAATCGTAACTCCAATAAATAAATAATTTATATTTAATAAAACTAATAATATTATACATTTATATTTTATTTATATTAATATTAATATTTAATTTAATTAAAATCGTAACCCCAATATATATATATTCATATATATTTACTGTATACTTTTTTATAATAATTATTTTAGCAGCCATTATTACATAGATTAAGTTTCTCTTACTCAAGCATGCATAATGGACCCAAAGTTTCATCAAATCCATTCAATGCTAGAGCTTGCCTACAGTTCGACCAATATAAATATATATTTTTTTATTCCAAAATACAATGGAAAAATTGAAACAAATTATTGTTGTATATAAAAAATAATGGATGAAGAAATCTCAAGATCTTTTAATAAAAATACCATAAATCTGATGAAATTAATATTAATCTTCTTTTCAGCTCCCAATTTCTATATGAAAAGTGAAAATGACTATGAATAGCTTTAATTGAATCAAAATGGAACTGAGATGAATTTGAGAAGTTGAAAGTGATTGGAAATAAATTTTTTTGAGGACCGCATTTAATTATATTCGATTATAATTGTTTAAAAATATTTAATTAGGAATAATATATACGGCAATCATTAATTAATTTCACTTCGATGAAGTTAACGCTCATTTTATGGAGATTTTGAAAAATGTTTTAATATTTATATATTTTAAAATTTAATTTGGTTTATGTCCCCTTTACTTGTTGAGTTTCTTTTTCTCAATTTTTATATTTGCTGACGTGGTATATAGTTACGCATTAGCATCAATTTTATTTAAGAATCGCAACAGATTATATCTCTATAACTTTTGAATTATCTAACTTAAATTCATAATTTTATTTAAATTTTTTTATTTTTTTCAAAAATTATTTTATAACAATTATCTGAATTCAAATCCACAAAACAAAATTAAATAGTCCAGGTTCAAATCTCCTTAAGTGTGAACACACTTTATTATTTTATAATTCGAGTCATACTCGAATATTGAAATTTTGATTTATACTAATATTTTTATAAGTTCAAAAAACTCTCGATCATTTGAATGGACGTTTATACACCATTGCAGATGCCGTGTTCAAACATGAGACGTCAAGAGATAATAACAATTTCTTAACTATTGAGGTCGTTTAGTTCATGCTCAAGAATATTCTTTTCCAAAAATATTAGGGTCTAACTAAAATTTTTAAAATTTTGAGAGACTTAATAAGATTTTTTTTTTAAATTATAGGAGGGGATTTAATTAAGAATGTTAAAAAATTAAAGTTTAATATGTATTTTTAAAAATTTTGGGGGCCAAATTAATTTTTTTTGATAATTTAATGGGTCTAAATTAAGTTTTTATTTATTTATTTTGGGGGCCATGCCCCCCACTAGTTCTACTTATGTTTTGCCACTGCTATTGATATTCAATCTATTGATTGACTAATTCATATAAAATTTTGCAAAGACCTATTATAGTGGCGGTCATCCTAATCTAATTTATTATATTCATAATCGCCATAATTCAAATTTATCACCTTGCTCAAAAAATAAGAATATATTTTTAACATATGAATTTAATTGATTTTTTACATTAAAATTTTGTAATATATTTGTTCAACTACGATAAGAGGTTTTTTACTCTCTAGTCAAAGGCAAACAAAAAATAAAAATATATAATATATTTGTTCAACTACGATAAAAAAAATGTTAATATGTACACATGACATCCCACATATTTGATAACATTAAGGCACACCAAATTACATGGCGAACAAAAAACATATTGTCTCATGGTTGAAAATACACGTTAAAAAGTGGAAAATTTAAAATGAGCAAACTAAAATATAGTAAATGGGCAATTTTATAAAATATGATCATCAATTTCCAAAATATTATCAATTTTTTTAAAACATTAATTGAATTGAAACAGTTAACACAATTTTTTCAAAGTATACATGTAGAGTGCGAAATATGAAAATAGGACAATATATATAATATTTATTTATCATCATATTATGTATTGAATTATTGACATATATAATGACAAAACTTACAATTATGAAGCTTAGAATACAATTAAAATGTTAGGCAATCAGTTTACAATTAACACAAGAAAATAAAATCTTGGACATGGTTTTTTTAATTACTAATTTATCCCCTTTAATTGAAAGTTTTTTTTTTGCTTTTTTTATTTAAATTAAAAAATGATTTTTTTATTATTTTTTATATAAAAAAGTTTAGGTCAGGAGTGGTTCACCCATTCTAGGATCAGTACATACCTAAGACCCAATTGAGATTTACACATTGCCCACCACTTGTGCCATCACTCTTTGACAAAATGATTTTTGATTGTAAATTAATACATAGTTAATTTTTTTGGAAGGTATTATACTTCAAGTATTCAAATATGTATTTATAAAATATTCCAGAAAATTTTTTAAAATATAATAGGTTTTTCATTTAATTATATTTTTATTTTTTAAATATCTATCACTAATTAAACGGTGCTCATAGAAAGTTTTCTAAGTATTGATTAATAGTCCTTGGTAGTGGCGGATCCTTTACGGTGCGAGGATGAACACTAAACTTTAATTTTTTTAATAATAATTTATTTTATTAATTGTACTTACCTTAAAATTTTATATTATTGATAAATATTTACTAGAACAAAAATATTTTTAGATTTCTCATTCATTTTTATCTAAATTAATTTGGCATGAAACCTAACAATTGATGGTTGACTTGTGGTGACTAGGGCTATAAATGAGGCAAGACAGATAGGTTACTCAAAATCGATTTAGTCAAAGTTCGATAAATACTCCCTTCGAGCTCTAGCTCGACTCGAGTTCTTAATAAGCCGAAACGAACTACTTGATACCAGTGGCGAATCCAGAAATTTAAGAATGTGAGTCCAAAATTTTAATTTCTTTTTTTTAAAAATAATGGGTATGCAAAAATTGTACCACATTTCCAAAATAATGGGGATGCACTTAGCCCCTATGGGGGCTTAGTGCATCAGCTACTGCTTGATACTCGACTCGAAAAGCTCATGAATAACTCAAAAATACAATATATTAAGATTTTTTTAAATATTAACATTTATGTGTTTATTTTTTAAAAAATATGTGTTTATTTTTTAAAAAAAATATAATATAAGGTTTTCATATATTTAAGGTTCAGATTCGAATTTGAGTTTGAGGCTTCATTCAAGTTAAATTTAGGATTTTTTTATTTCGAGCTTTTACGAGCTTTAGTTCACTATTTTGAGTTCGAGTCGAGCTTAAAAATTTTAAACTCACAAATTTTCGAATCGAGATGAGCTCCATTTCAAAATTTTCAAATCGAATCGAACTCAACAATACTCAAACTCGACTCCACTAAAACCCCAGTGGTGACCGAAAGTCGTTTGAATGGTCAGTAAAATTCGTAGGTAAAACATAAACTTTTGTCCCAACATGAAATCAAAAACTCCATAAAAAGACGAATTTAATACAAATCAATCAATTTTATTTTCAAATACATGAAACCAATGATTTATTATCGAAAGAGAGAAAACAATGGGATATGCACATTGCACCATTCCCGCTCCTCACTTTCTCGAGAAAAAAATCATCTCCGAAAATTTCAAATCTAATAAGTTGTGGCAGATCCCAAAGCCGCCTTAATTACTTCAAAAGTTTCTCACATGCCAAACGCCCCAAAAAACAATCCATACAAATCGAGGAAGATCAACCATATCTAACCAAACAACTAAACAAAATAATAATAATTTTTATTTTATTCATCACTAACCATAATTCAAAAAACTAGATTAAAAGATAACATATAATCTTACAATATATATGTTAGAGAAAAAACACATATCCCTTAGTTTTTTTTCTTAAAAAAAATATCCGGGTTCAAATTTGAAAGAAGAAGAAGCAATACAATATATAACCCTAAATTCAAATTGGAAACTAAAGCAATATAAATGAAAATATTTAACATGTTTAGATCGGAGCTAAAACCAAACCGAACAAAAAGTTGTCTGAATATTACAGACTTATATGGACTTTTTTTTAATCAAGCGGTAGATTCGCGTGTAATTTCAATTTAATACATACAAAAAAGAAATTAAAAAATACATGTAAAAAAACCCAAAAATATATAAAATAAATTCATGTACGTGGGCACCTTCTTTTAGAGACGAGATCATGGAAACCAGCTTCCAAAAACGCATCGACTTCGTCTCTGTTAAGGATCTCGAAGAACTGGAATTCAGACAGCTTCCGTTTACACGAAACATGTGTTTTCCTATGTTTCCTTGGTGCTTCCGGACATGACAAAACCGCCGGAATCTTGTTTTCTTCCGATGTCGGCGTTGAACACTCGCCGGTGGTGCTGTTGCTATTGTTTTCTTGCTGAATTTCGAGTCCACTTTGATCGGAAGATTGAATGTTGAGTTTGGGTAAATTTGCTTTAGCCAAATCTTGGAGTAATCCAAGATCTGTAGACATAATTGTTGAAAATAAACAGGAAAAAAAACAGAAAGAGAGAGGAAGAAGAAGAATAAGACGTGTAAAGGAAGGTAAGAGAAAGGTTGAGGGATTAGAGAGTGTGGGATCCTTTTATATTCTTCTCCTGAGGATTTACCCTTCCTATTTTTTCAACTCTTTTTTATTTTTTTATTAACAACGATGATCATGATGTTGAATTCTCTTTTGGGTGTGGAAAACTTTGAGTTTAAGCTGCCTTGAGTGGGTTGCTTTCTTAGCGTTAGGTATGGCTCATCTACTTTTGGACAGATATTGGAGCGGAGTGAGTGAAGCGAACATAATTATATTAGTACAGTACGGGTATTTTTGTAATTTTACTGGAGTTACTCTTATATATTGTAATTGTAACATAATTTTGGATTATTTTTAATAACAAATATAACAACCGCTCATCATTCATGCATCATTCATGATGATGTAGGCACATTACGGAATCTCACTAAATCTTGTGTTCTTTTTTTGCTTTATTGCTTGTTGATTTCCAGAGTTAATTAATCCATTTTCACAACACTTGCCTTTTCTACTTCATTTTCTTTTAGCTTTTTTGCTTGTATAGCTATGAAGAGGAAGATTTTGTTTCTTTTCTTTTTGGTGTTTGGGGTAAATAACAAAATTTAAATCCCAATCTGTAAAAACAAATTTTGGATTAATATTTTGCTTTTCCGGGAAGATTTATGGTTTATGAATACCAAAATAATAATTAAATAACGCATCACAATTAAATACACTAACATGTAAGGATGGCGAAAAGATTTTGGACCCTCAAGTTTTAGAATGTTCCGATCTTATAAAATATAGTTTTTCTTAAAAAAAAAAAAGAAAAAATATAAAACTTTAATAAGACGTACATTATTTTTTAAAAATCATTATAAATTTTTTATTTTATAATATATATTTGGTTTAGTTTTATAACCATGTGAACTTCTGGAGCAGGTTGAGATAGGATCGAAAAAATTCATTTTAGACACATTTTTAGCTATATTTATAAGTCGGAATTGGCGCAAATAAATTATAAAACACAGTCTCCATTCGAATAGCACACATCTCATAACATGCATATTTCAATAAAAATAATAAATATATTAAAATTTAGTAATAAAACACCTATGCGAATACACAGATTACTTGATCTGGTAATATTTTTAAATTATTAACTTTTCGGACGGTGTAAATAATTTATTGGAGGAACTTATTTGGGAACAATGGAAAAATTCAATGAATAGACAATCACTTGAATTGTAAAATTAAAATTTAATCGTTGCTATACACTTCATATCGGATAGTAGCGGCCGGGACAAAAATCTAGCTCCTTAATTATTATAAAAAATTACTTAAAATGAAATGGATTTATCGTGTCGTTGTAAAAATTAGATTTTGTCTTAATTAGTGACAATTCAATAAAAAATAACTATCATATCTCGAGATATTCACGAATGCTCTAAACAAACGGCATAACGTCTTTCATAGAATGTGATTAATCTTTTACACTTATGCAGACGATTTTACAAGTCTACCTTAATACAGATCATCTGAATCAAAGTTATAAAATCATTAAGAGCAATATAAAGTTTATTCTCTTAAAAAGTTTCAAGAAATTCATCAAATTCTTTTCAATATGACCATCAAAACTCTCGGCTATAAATTCATTGAAAGAAAAAGGCTTAACCTTATATGTATACATCGTACGCCTATGAATAAGTAAAAAAATGTACATAATAAATCTTTCTATAGTTTCATTGATTGTATCCAACCCAAAAGATTAGGTCGGACATTCATCATGAATTGAATGCTTAAGGTCCATCCTCCTCGTAGATTCAATAAATATTTTCCTGCTTAATTCTTTGGTTAAGCAATCAACAAAATTTCTTTTAATCCGCCCATATTTCACGACGAGTACTATATTCTTTATGAGGTTTTTCTCATGAGTTCATGTCTAATCCTTACATGTCTTTTCTTATTATTATTGTTCTGATTTTTAACCACATAAATAACAAATTGTGAAACACATAATAGATACATTAGTAGATTAGGTTTTCAAGCTCAAGTAATTAAAGTTATCTATTTCAAATATAATGCAAGTGTCATAATATTAAATTTGAATACGTGGCTCAAGTTTATTTTAAACTACTTTATCCTTATATCATATGTAAATATTGTATAACATGCACATTCAATGTGAGGTGATGAATTCATATAAAAAGGACAACGGTTATATAATAAGCTATGATAAGGATACTGAACTATATGTTAAAATTTCGAAGATACACTGGCGGTGAATTTGAATAGAATGAAGAAAAATAACTTTTATATTGTAAATTTGATTAATTATATTTCAATTAAAATATAATTCTGATTATTTAATATTTTTCTAAGAAAATAAATAAAATATTGAGTTTTGAAATGATAGATGGCGTTTAAATTTTTTATTTCATTTTGAGTTTAATTTATAAAATAAACAATTTTAAATTTCGTTTTCAATCAAGAAAGAGTTTGAAATAAATTTCAAATTAGAAGTGAAATTCAAATTTAAAATTGATGATATTTTAGCTGAAATATGCTCTTCGAGGTTGTGTTTTTATTTTCCAGCAACCTTACAAGAATATCCTTAAACTGATACGTGTCAGCCTCTCATAATGGCTAACGTATGAGACTAGACACAGACAGTAAAACCCCACTTTCCCTTTTTTACTATTATTTTGTTTCCTTTAGAGGATTCCAATTCTAGCATGAAGAACATAAAACTTACGTCGAAGACAAAAGGTGGTAACTATTCCATCCTCTGTACTTACCCACGCTCTTTCATGGAGCGTGTTCTCCAACTTTCTTATTTTTTTTATTCCTAAAATTTGTTCTTTCCTTTTCTTTCTCAATTTATGAAAACCATATTTTTGTTTCGTCTTCGATACTGGAAGCTATAATTTTTTTTAGTTAATTTGAGATGATTTTAAGATAATATTTATTCATAATCTTTTTAACTAATAACAATACATCATGTAGACGTAACTATTTAAACTCACGATCTCAAAAAAGAATAACACTCTTTCTAACTAATGAGGCCACCCAATGGTTCATAAATTATTTAATGATCAAAATTAAGAATTGAAATAAGTTATTTGTTACTCCATTTGAAGCTATTTTATTTCATTTTTTCTATTTAATATCATATGTAGTTATTTGTTACTCCATTTGTTGTATTTAATTTATGGGTTTAAAAAAATTGTAGACAGTTTAAATACTACTCTATATAATAAAATCATAATTTCAAATCATCACATCCATATTTAAGAGATAATGATGGTTAACACTTAACCCTGTACTATCTATATACGAAATTGACAAAAAATAATGTAACAGAAAATGTTATTAAATTTTACTAATATTTTAAAAAAAGATTGATGATTAAAATGATATTTACTTAATATGAAAGGGGAGAAAATGAACGTTATGTTGCATTGCTGGACAAAATTGTAAATCTGGTAGAATTATACTTGATTGATCTACCGATTTAATTCTCCTGATCGCCTCTGTACAAACTTGTAAGGTTGACATCCAAACCCTGCAATGAAATTATATCATTATTCATAAATCCACCCTACTTCTTTAAAACACTTACTCATCGTTTAAATCAATAACAGGGGACGGATAGATATAAAACAAAGCAAACAGCTTGTTTAAAAAGAAAGAAAGGAGTAGTATGCATCATTTTCCCATTTATTTCCACCATTTCCCCACTCCTTTGTTTGTAAAAAGTAAAAAAAAAAAAACACTAACCAATATGAAAAATAGTTTATAATTTCTTAATCATTTAAGTTAATGATGAAATCGGAATTTCTAAAAATAATAATATTTTTTAAATAGATTAGAATAATTGAACAATTTTAAATATAATTATAACAGTACCGGAAATAAAGGAGTAAGTTATGTGTAAATTATGGTGAGTGTTTGTGGCTGCTCTATCTGTTTAGCATAGGATGCCATGGTAGAGCCTGGAATGCTCTTATCTAACCAGATCTCTTGCTTCGCTATTTTAATGGGATTTATTTATTGGATTTGGTTTCGCCAAATACCAACTCATATTCACCAAAGATAATGACTCTTTCCACGTGGAATCTGTCTGTTTCTGCTTAGTCCAACTCTATCACCACCTGCATGTTTTTCACCGCTCAAATCCCTTCGCTTTCCCATCTCTCTTTATTGAAAAAGGGTTAATTGCATATATATATATGTTGGATTATATTCCCCTACAATAAACAAACAAACCCCTTCTTTAATCCAATCTTAACCCACTTTTAAAGCTGCTAAACGACTCATTTTTTGATAATGCATGTCGCTTTTAATGGTTTTCTTTTTCTAAAACCACCATTTTTACCTAGAATTCTGGGGAATATATATATTTTTTTATACAAAACCCTGTTAATGATGTGAAAGTCAATGGATGAAAACTCTTTTATGAGGTTCTTTGTGAACTGATAAAACCAGACAACAACGTAACAAACATTCAACTTTATTCCTTGTGTCAAATCTTGTTGAAGAATTCCTCTCTTTTTTTTCCCCAAGCTTTTTCTTTCTTTTTTATATTCTTTTCCTCTTCCTTTTTCCAAGGAGAATTCACAACAAGCCTTGTCTTGTTTTAAGGTTCCTTCCTTTGTTGATTCCCAAACTTTATTACTGATGTACGAAATAATAATCTTATATATATTCAAAAAATTGATATTTAAATAACGTATGAGTTTCTCAAAATCATGGGCTCGAGCACCAGCAACTTCAACGAGATAATTGAACATTCATTATCAAATGATTGAACATTCATTATCAAATGATTGAGAGTATTTATAACAAATACTATTTTATAATCAACTTAGCTAATTAATAAAAAAAATGGTGTATGAGTAAGATTAAAACCTTTAATTTGAAGATTAAGACTTGGTCGAAAATGGGGAGAGACCCACAAAAAACAAGTTGGCTCATTGAAGATGGACTACTCTCTTGCTAGCTGTATTTTCGTCTGGATTTGCATGTGCCTTTTTCTTTTCCGTTCCTTTCATTTTCTTTCTTGATT